GGAGGGGTGGGGGGGGATTATGCACGGAGGAAGGGGTTAGATTGATCCCTGGACATAATTTATATATTGGTTGTTGCATGACATTGATTTGGTGGGTGATCTACATATTTTACTTGGTGTATGATGTTATGTCTCTGCAAAGACTAACATTTAATTCCGCTTCAGGTTTGTTACATCAGCTCGTCAATTGGCAAAAGCACTCGAAGTGCCATTAGTAAACGATTTGGGATATACGAAGAGATATGTGCGGTGCCTTCAGGTAAATGGGCTTTATTCTCCAATCGCTAGTTGCGCTACAATAAATTGCAGGATGTAGTTTAGCTGCAATCTAAAGAAAACCTGACATTTTTTATCGCAGTCCTGAGCAGGACCTGGTTTTCTCATATGGATGGCTAATTATTATTTGAAGGTAGATTGAACTGTGTGTGACCACTGCTTTACTATCTGTCCTAGTCAGAGAGTCCATCAGTGCCTATTATTTCACCTTGAAAAAGTCTGATAGCAAAATCCAGTATTTTCTTTTGCCCCAAGTTCATTTTGCCCTTGAGTTGAAGTGGTATACTGATAGCTTCTTTGTAGTTGTGGCAAGTCCAAACAATTGGTTTAATTGTCATGAGCTGGGTAATTTGTCAGAAACAGTCAAATCTAGAGGGGTGCTTGAAAAGAGATGATGGGGTATGGTATCCATGGTTCAAGGTCGTTGTATCGGCCGTTGACTCGGGGGCCACTGAGACACATCAGTGGCGGTGCAGTATTGGCCGATACGAACAAAACACTATATAGAAGGCTCAAAATAATTTGAAAAAATTGTAATAATGTAAACATTATAATCTATGCATCATATCCCTAAAAGACATTATTTAACACATTAATCATTGCAAAAAAGAATAATAAGGATGTTATCGGAAAATATTTATTATCATCTGCATTCAAGGTTGATATAATTTAATTTGTAATTTTTAAAAATTATAAAAAAATATAAGTGAATATATATGGTTAACTTAATAACTTTAAAAATGAAAATCTATTTATAAAGAAATTTTTCATTTAATTATTTAATATGTATCATAATTAGAAATTATATGTATTTTCTCCATTATGTACATTTAATTATTAAATCATCAATACATATACAAAAGCAAATTTAAGAAGTTAAGTTCTAATTAGATTATAAGATAAATACTAAAAATTATATAATTAAAAAAATTGGACCAAAACCAAAAAAACAAAGGGAAGAGGGGGAATAAATTTTTGGTTCTCATTCCTAAAAAAGGCCAAAGCCACGTATTTTGACCAAAAAAAAAAAAAACTCTCTTCAACTCTTAGACTTTAACAAACAGAACATGCGATCAAGAGAGGGAGAGAGCAAGCACAGAGATGATGGGTCTGGGAGTCGACGCTGGTCGCTGAAGGCTCGTTGGGAGGGATTCGAGTCTTTAACTCATCTGTGATGCTAGGGCTTCTCCGAGAGATGACCAGCAGAGAACAAAGAGAGAAGTCCCCAGGGAAAACTCACGTGAAGGCAAGGTCCTCTGCTACTCGAGACTCATCGTAAAGGCTGGGTCCTTTGCTACTCGAGTAGTACGATCGTCGAGTAGCCTAGGATTTCTACAATTGATCTGCAATGTTGATTGATGATGCTAGGTCCTCTACTACTGCGAAGTAGGAGGAAAGTAAGAGCAAATAGTAGGAAATGGTCTCTGATGGAGATTTATCACAAATTTTTAAGTTTGTGTTCAATTTTGTTCCAACTTTCTTATTTTGTTTTTATTATGATAAAAGGGGGTCTGATTTAGGGTTTAATTTTTTATCTTTGTTGTCTTTGTTTTGGCATTTTCTTTGTTGTTTGAAAGTAGATGGATGATTCAGTGTGTATTAGTTCGATTCGAAAGTGAATTAGCGGAGTTGGATCGAGTTTGTCCGAGTTGACCCGAGTCAGAACCGATTAATGGTAGACTCGTGATAGTCTTGTATTGTGTATCGTTATCAGATCGATGCCTGTCGAGGCGGATACGACTTGGCCAAGTTGTATCCGACTTGACCGATACTTTGAACCTTGATAGAAGCTTGATTGAGTTGTGTTCGACTTGGCTGATACTCTGGTCTTTGTAATTGAGTTGCATATGGAAGCTTGATTAACTTTTGGTCAGCATTATGGAAACCATAGCAACTTATAAAAAAGCTTAAAAATGATTTGAAATTTTATTTTTTGTTAAATTTTGTGCACTATATATGGCAACCTTTTACAGATTGAGCAATAGATGCATGTGGACTTCAGATGGCATAAAGTTCCTATAGTTCTAGGACTGAACTACTATGAAAAGTGATGTTTTAGAAATCCAAAGAAGGAAGCATGGTTAACTTTGTAGGAGGGAATTTTTGGCCTTTACTTCAAACTTAATTCGAAATCGAAAGTGTAGTAAACAGATCTGTAGGAAGGAACAAACAAGATATACCATAGAGAGAAAGAAAGGGAGCATGATACTTATTAGGGGTGGGCACCGACTTCGACTCTAGTTGAAATATTTCTTGCCTCATACTTCGACATATAATGCGTTCGCTTTTGTTTTCACTCTGATTCCGATTGGTGGAGTTGGACCGAAGTTTTTGGAGTTTCTGGGAAAAAAAATTCTAGATTTCCCTAAAAAAAATGTGAATCCAAAAATCGTCACAAAGGAAGCAAATATATTGCACATAGATTAATCAATCAAAAACCATCCAAATTCAAATCGAAAGTTCAGAATGGACAATAGATTTTCCCAAATTTAATCAGTAGATCAAAGTTTACCTTATCAAAGCAGATCGGAGCTGCTAACATTGGAAATAGGCTGTAGATCGAAGTTGTTAATAGTGGGTGGAGAGAGAGAGAGAGAGAGAGTGGGGGAGTTGTGGTTCTCGTGGAGCAGAGGCTGGCGGTGGTCTCTAGTTTGTGGAGGTGCAGAGAAGATGGAAGAGAAGGACATTAGAATTTAGGGTTTGGGGGGTTGCCTCATATTTGTATGTTCTATTGTTTTATGTTTATATGTAATAGTAATATAATTTATAATTTAATATGGGGTCAGAATTAGACGAGTTTTTTTTAATGTTTTTATGTTTTAATGTTTTATATTTATATGTAATAATATAATTTATATAAAATTATTAGTTAATAAAAGTCGAAGTCGGAGTCGAAGTTTTTTCGGATAAGCCTTCAGACCCCGACTCTGATTGGAGTGTGTAATTTGTCTATGACTCTAACAAACTCAGACGGAGGTAAAGTTGGTTTATAATCGAAGTTGGTGTCGAGTTTTTGGATTCTTGCACACCTCTAATACTTATGAGGAAAAACCATTCATTAGTAGGATATGGCTTTAGAGCAAAGGGACTAGTATTTTTAATGCAGGAAAACATGTAAAAACAAGAAAATGAACAAGAAGGGGGTTGAGAAACAGAATGAAATCAAACCATTGGTTTGTGCACAAAACTGGTTCAGAATCTCTCTCTAGGCATGTTGATTCACTTGGAATGCCAGTCCTAAAGGCATCAATTTAATTATTGATTCTTAAGAACACCTGAAGAATTGGGAAAAAATAAAACACACTCAATTTTATTAATTCACTTCAAAGCTGCTTTCCCCTAAGGCTAACAGGAGTTTATATAATAGCAAAAATTGTAAACCAACTGGGAAACATAAAAATGTGGCCTACTTATCATTAATCAGCCACTATTATAAGTTTTGCAAAATAATGAAAGCTCTAAATTGAACATGTGACTAAAATCTACTAATCACCTGAACTAAGATAGTTTTGATGATAATCAATTCTGACTTCACATGGTGAAGTTATTTAGCTACAAAAAACTTCTTAAAATAGCAAAAACACGTTTTTTAGACCCTAAATAAAGGAATTTGCTCAAAAGGGGTGCGATGAGTTCATCTCGCGTTGTCATTTCTGACTGGACATTTGTGTTTCAAAATCCATGTATGTGAAAGTGGTTTTGAAAAAGTCAACCCTTTTGACTACCGTGAACCACCCATATGTTAATCCTAACTATTCAAATACTATGTTGCTATTTGACTTGCATTATCCTCTCAAACCTCAGGAGAATTCGCCGCTCGAATTCTCAAGTGCAAATGCGACTAAGAATTTCAACTTGTAGGCTTTCAGGTTAATTTTCTCTATTATCTCAGGGGTCCAATCTTCGTGCTGATAGTTTGTTGTATTCACCCGTAGAGAATTGTTTTTTTGCTAGAATGGGGCCAAAAAAAATCCCTAACCTCAAACTCTACAAAACGACAATGCTTCCTTGTTTCTTTATACTTGGAGACATAATAATAAGTTCCATATGGGTGGATTCGTGCACATCCTTCAATTGCTAGATAAAATCCTCAGTGTTACCATGAGTTTTCTTTAAAATCAGGAACTAGAGTTTGATCAAGTGGTGATCTTGGATTAGCACAATATATAATCTAGAAAGGGTTAAAAACCAGTGCTATGATTGAAAGAACAATTGTATGCAAACTCCGTTGGATAGACCTTATTATCCCAACTCTTAAAATGATCACCCACCAACTGTGCAACAAATTACCAGTGGACCTATTGACTACTTTAGTTTGACTATCAGTTTGAGGATGATAGGCGCTATTGAACTCTAACTTGGTGTTGACCAATCTTCACAAACCGCGCCAAAAGTGACCAACAAAATGGATATTTTGATCTGAGATAATAGATTGTGGTAGACCATTTAGACGATAAACATCCTTGACATAGAGATGGGCAACATGAGATGCATCAACAGTATTCTTGAAAGGGATGAAATGTGCTTTCTTGAAAAAATGATCCACTACATAAATGGAGTTATTACCTCATTGGGTTCGAGGTAAGCCTATAATGAAGTACATGCTAACATTTGCCAAGGTTGTTGTGGCATTTATAATACAGTATTTGTGGTTTTTTTTTGACACGACGCATGAATCCCATTAGTAAAATAGGCCCGATAGAAAGTCCATCTATTCCTAATCTCCGGTGGAAGTCAAAAAAATTGATCTATTTATAATCGTCCACTAGTTGGATTAACGGATCGTCCACTTGGAAATGATAATAGAATACATAGGTTGTCAGAAGGAGTTTTAAAATAGATATAAATATAGTATACCACCGAATGACCCTATTTCCTTTACAAGGAAGAAAGAAAATTAAGGAACTTGCATATTTTGGCAAACTTGTATATTTCCTTCCTCGTGATAGTCAGACGTAAGAATTTATTACCAACTTGAGTGTCTTATCTTGGCCAAGATGGCCTTTATTGTGCAATTCACAAATAAGCTGTAACGGAGGGTAGAATTAGGAACACATGGTTCCATCGAAATAGAAACCCATCGGTAAGGTGAAGTGAATATTGATCTTAATACATCACGAACTCTCGGTGTATTAGTTAATAGTACCAATGGCACAAGGATTGAACGATGGCATAAAACTCGACATCATAGGTAATGTAATTCAACTTGGAATGTGAGTTCCTCACTGAAGAAGGCTATTGACATGGAATTCTGACTTAAAAGAACCCCAATCCCCACCTTAGAGACATCACAATGTACCTCGAATGGTTAAAAAAAATCCGATAAAATAAGAACAATAGTAGTAGTCAATTTCTGAATCAAACAAAAAGCTTTTGTGGCTTCATCTGTGCATCCAAATATTGTGTCGCATACATTTTGTAACAGGTGTCATAATTGTACTGAAAGGAATGAAACGACGATAACAAGATGAAAGACCATGAAAATTGCGTATCTCAAAGTGTCTTAGGTATCTCAAATCACAATAAATATAAATTTAAGATCATTAAAAAAAAAAAAATTAAATTAACAGATAGTAATTAAGTAGCTTCCTTCTTGAACATAAAATTAAAATAAAAATCTTAAACAATTAACTGGTCTCAAAATAAAACAACTAAGTAGTAAAAACATTTGCATTGCAATGCTTAATTTTCAACTTTTTTCCTTTTATCTTTAGTGGTGTTCCCTCCACTTATCAAGTTGAAAGTTTGAGTCTAATGTAATCCGGTACGTCGAGGTGTCGGCCTACTAGAACCAATAGGTGGACCTGCAATAGAAGTGGGGATAGAAGCATGAGATGTCTATCTTCTTTTTTCCTTGCCAGTGACGTGTCTTCTGAGAGTGCTGCCACCACACAATGGCTTCTCCACAGAATCTTGTTGCCACCGGTGGAACTTTCTTGTTCTCAGGCATCTCTTTGAACTTTAAAATTTCCTCACCTACATTGATCCAATCAAAGAATTCTTCAAGTTTAGACTGTCTTGGAAATCATGTAAGTCAATCTTCGATCTAGACTCCCACCGTCGAGAATCAATTTTTGGTATAGTGGCTTGTCTTTCTCTAACTCTGGTTGGGTACCCAGTGAAAGGATTCTTATCCTCATCCATCAGACTCTCTCCCTCCACCAATTGTGGATTTTGGGGTCACCGTGGCGGCAGTGGTTGCTGTTGTTGAAAAGCCGAAGTTAAGATTGCTATATGTTGGGTTAAAGCCTCAATTTGTTGTTGTATCCTTGCATCCTTCACGTTGATGTCAACTTTATAGATCTCCTCCACATGTTGTCTTCTTGGTGGCATAGTGACAAGAACGTAATCGGGCTCTGATACCAACTGATGTAAGAAAGTGTGTAAGAACAAGAAATAAAATGGAACCAAATTGTTGTATTTGTTTAGAATCGCTCTTTAGGCTTGTTAGTTCACTCAAAATGGAATGTAACTAGGCTCTAACATCAATTGATGTAGGAAAGCATGTAAAAACAAGAAATAAAATGAAACCAAATTGTTGATTGACACACAAATACTGGTTTAGAATTGCTCTCTGTTAATTCAGTCTGAATGGCAATTCTAAAGGCATCAATTAATCTATCGATACCTAGGAATACCATAAGAATTGGAGAAATAGAAAACTTTCAATTTTATTATTTCATTTCAAATCTACTTTGCACCAAGGTAGAAATCATAAACCAACTAGGAAATATAAAAGGTGACCTAATTATCATTAATCACGTAATCAAGCCATTGTTACATATTTTGCCAAAAACGGAAAGTTCTAAACTGAGCATATGACTAGAATCTACTAATCTTCTGGATCAAGGCAGAACTTCTAGAAATCATTTCTGACTTCACATGGTGAAGTTATTGAGCTATGGAAAGTTCCCTAAAACAGCAAAAAATGCGTTTTCTAGGCAAAAATCTGCCCCTGGTCATTGCATTCACTGTAAATGGTGCGACGAGTTTATCTTACCTCGTCGTTTCTAACTGGACATCAGTGCTTCGAAACCAATGTATGTGGAAGTGGCTCCCTGTTTGTTTAACTCAAACCACCCCTATGTTGATTTTAGCAATTCAAGAATTGTGTTGCTATCCAATATGCATCAATTTTGATGCTATAAGACATTAACAATACACTACATTTATAAACCCAGCTAGTTGATTATTGCACGCGAATAAGAATGACTCAGTAACTCTCCTAAAATTAGTAAATTTACCCCAAAACAACAGTTTTGAAGTACAAAGACTTCATTTTCTCTAGGAAAAAGTGCAGATCCTTCTAGAAAAAAATGCAAGTTTAGAGAACATAGTGGATTTCTAGGACCACTTGTCTTATTTAACCCAAGGATAGGAAGTAATAAAACCTACAGCCAAACTCACAATAACCTAGCCTCTGAACAATACTAGGCCATATAATCACTAAAAGCAATATAAAACTGTGATGTATGTAATTGGTTTGGACTTTTTATCTTTTTCTTGTTGCACCTGCATCATACCCTAGAGCAACCAGGAGTTTTCAGTGGGAGACAAAGCCATGAATTTTTTTACCTTCAGTGGCCAAATCAATATGTGCTTTTATCTGATGAGTTGAATCCTTTGAACTTTTGGTCTCTTTAAGTCATACGTCTGTCACCAATAAAAAAACCGAAATGCAGCAACACTATTCGTTTTAGTCTGTTTCTGAATAATTGTTTGGTGTTCTGCCATATTCAAATTGGGGCAGTTGTGAATTCCTTTTTCTTCTCTTTCAATAATGTGAAGTTTGGCACAAGGGAAAGGAGGCACATGGGGNTCTGAATAATTGTTTGGTGTTCTGCCATATTCAAATTGGGGCAGTTGTGAATTCCCTTTTCTTCTCTTTCAATAATGTGAAGTTTGGCACAAGGGAAAGGAGGCACATGGGGAGGGAGAAGGAGGTTTGCTTTATATTTTGCAGAAGGAAAAGAAGAGGAAGAAGGAAGGAAGGAAGAAAAAAAAGGGGGGGGGGGGTTAGAATTGGGTTTAGGCTGGGAACACTTATTTTACTTTTTTTTCATTCAAGAACACTTTCATTGATATGTGAGTGTAGATTTGGAATATCAACTAATAACCCTCAGATTAAGAGAAAGAAACATTCCATTCAGTAAGCATATATCCACTCAAAACCAATTGGTAATTAGTGGAAATGACGTGTAAGTATATAAACTAAACTTGAGTTGTCCTAATTATTTGTCACTTTATAGCCTCCCTCACGTGGGACTTGGATTCGCACGTGGGGCTTACAAACAAACACAAACATGCATACTGGTAATTCAAATGGTTAAGAGACTTGGTCCACTGACTAAGGCCTAGCTTTGATATCATGTTAGACCATCTAGCTAGAAATCAATTGGCAATGGGTGAAAAAATCCTTTGTCATGTTAAATGAATGATCTTATTTTCTTAATTCCTCTTTTTTAAAACTTTTATGCATTCTCTGCTTGTATTATTATGTTTTGAGTACAACTTCAACATGTCTAGTTTTTGTAATTATATATTCTCTCCTATCATCAATACTTGAGCCAGAATTTTAAGTTTTGTTAATCATATGTCATCACATTTTTATTGTTTAGTAGTACACATGGGGCATGACCTAAAGAAGTGTCGGACACAGGTCCAAGAATGTTCGAGGAGTGTCTGTGCTTCATAGGTAAAGACAGTTAAATTCATCGCTATAACTTCTCTAACTAGATATAATTTGGATGCGTCAGTAAGAGACTAAATCCTGAACCTTAGCCCAAACCTTAATTCCCATTTCCTACAGGTTGCTGATCATTCATGGGCACACTATTACTGTCCCTCTAAAGATATTGGGGTTTCTTTAGGATTCCAACCTAGGTCACACAGAACGGGGGCGGGAGTGTAAAAACGCAAAATTTTTAAAAAATCATAAAGCAGGAGTGTCTTGAGAGCGTTATACTATATACCTATGTACATGTTTATATATATAAAAAAATTATTAAAAAATATAATTATTTTCTTAACATAGAAATAATATAGTGAATGTTAGATCAAAAAGAATTGGAAAGGCATTTTTATGCTTGGGAACTAATACCACATCAACTGGGCATGATGAGTTTACAACAACACTTGCCTATAAACTGTCACAAATGCTCACTTTTTTCAACACAAGCACGTGTGCTGCACTGCTGCTTAACTGGAAAGTCTCTTTTTGAGATTAGTACAGTAAAGCAACCACTGAGTTTTGAGTTTTGGGTTAGCCCATGTTGAGTTTTTGGCTTTAAGCTTGAGTAAGAGTTTTGAGTTCACGAATTGGGAGCGAGTTGATTCCAACCCTTGCCTTACTGAATTTGTTTCTTTCCAATGATGTTTTTAGTGTTAAAAATCATGATATTAATTCTTTGGAAAATAATGACCTCTTGCCAAATTGGACTTCTTGTATATGTGGTGTACCTTGTTTACATACACCCAATTTCTGATGTTCCAGTCTTATAATTTTTGTCCCCCTCTTTTTTTCCCCACCTAAAAATGGATTTCAATATTTGATGATCTAAAATAAACTTTCTCCAAAGAATGATAATCCATCTCTGGGCTGCACACGTGTAAAACTACATATTGTTTGAGTTTTATTGTGCTGCTTGACTGATTTCATAATATCTCTGGTTCTGGTTACATTGCAGATATCAGAAGTGGTTAATAGCATGAAAGACTTGATTGATTACAGCCGAGAAAATAGTATTGGACCAATGGGTAAGCTTGATTTTTTTTTTGAAATGAAAGTGTTTTTCTTTATTTTTGATATCGAATTCAAAAGACTTAAATGCATATGGTGGAAAGTAGACCAAATGAATGGCTAAGATAGGTTTTGTATCGTTAGTTTTGGTGTGGAGATATAGAATACATGTTTTGTGTGAGGTAGATGGGTGCGTGGAACGAACTTATACTTTCGAAGGTGATCTTCCATGGATTATAATTAGTAATTGTCATCCATGGAAGATCAATTAGCTAGGTGCTAATCTTTGATCTGAAAGTGTTAGTGGAGAAAGGCTTGAGATGATTTTTAAATCATTTCTGAATTTCCTGTCTTTTTACCTAGAATGTATTTTTGTGTCATTATTTCATATGCCAAGCCAGCTAGGGGTGCCCACCCCTTGACTGTTCTCCCTCAAATTTGGTGATATATATTTCCAAAATTTGTGAAGTATTTGTAATCATGCCCACCTTATATTTTTTTATTATATCAATTATCATAGACCTATACCTAATTGTTTATTAATTTTTGGACATTTTTAAGACACATCTCATTAAGTTTTGGACATGTTAGGGTCATTTTATAAGTTGTAGAAAAATTATGGAAATTTTTTTATTTATTGGATAAATATTCAAGTAATTATGGAATAAAGTATAGGGTCATTTGTTAAGTATAAAAAAGTAGTCAGAACTTAAAATTACACAATAATTTTGGAGTTTAAAAAACCCACAGTAAACATGATGTCAGATGAGCATGAGATTAGTATCATCGGACCAAATTGAATGATCGACTTTGTGTGTTTTTTTTTTTTTTTTTTGGGGGGGGGGGGAAGAAGTAGTTGACAATTGTGTGGCCCTACAATGACTGTGAGGCCCTCCTATGACTATGTTACCCTCCAGTAAGACGTGGTTTGTTTTTATTTGATGTCCTAATAGACAACACTATAGCACTACGGAATTCTCGACACTTTTTGATCAGTTTACTAGCTATGTTTTTTTGGAGCACCCTATCATTGAGTTTTCAAACATAATGGAGATTAGTGATCTTGCTTAAAAAATGGTTCATATTAGAAAAGATCTGGTCTATTAGCTCCTATGACTTTGACATCGATGTTATTGGTTGTGATGCCATTGTAGAGTGCATTTTTAACTACGAATACTCAGTTACCTAACTGCGCAGGCGATAAATGAATGACCAGTAAAATAGTTGTGTATCTAGAAAAAAGACATTTTCGATGGCATTGGTAAAGAAATTATCATGCAACAATTTTCATCGTATGAAAACCCATCAAGATCAGTTGTGCATGGATGCTATGAACCTAATTTTTTTTTTTTGGTAAAGGATTATAATTGATCAGTTTGGGTGTTTAATGAATTTGGAAGTATCAAATAGATGTTAATAAATATAAATGCATNGGTCTTGTTTGTTGTTTTTGGCTTGTGTAAACTATGTATATCGGTTTTTCACCCTTGGGTGTTTAATGAATTTGGAAGTATCAAATAGATGTTAATAAATATAAATGCATCATCTCGGAAGAGAAAAATATAAAGCTTGTTAAAGTGCCTACCCAACATTGATTTTCTAGCTTCGTCCTTGTATTCATTAGTAGCACAATGCAATCAAAATGTTGTTCTAGTTTTCATTATTGCATGATTATTAACTCCGTAACTTCTCAACTCATAATTCAGTAACTCCTGAACTTAGCAACTCAATTCAGTCATCCCTTACTCCATTCGTTCCTAAAGTCAGGAATGACAGGATGGTTAACATCAGCTATTGCTACTCTTACTCCGGCTTCCAGCTCGGAACTATGAAATAGCGTGATTTGGTTATATCATAGCCATATTGTTTGTGGAATTATTCTGCTGTATAATCTGTATACTTTTTTCCATGCTCCAAGTTATTTATTTTTGTCAAAGATCATAAAATTTGTTTGAATAAGTAAATTGTAGTGGTCTTATTATTGTCCTTGACTATATTCGTGAGGTTAATTTTTTTTTTACCTGTGTACTTTCTTGTGGTAGTTTTGTCAGTTGTCTCCAAGTGCTCATGGAGCTCCCATTAAGGTAGCATACCCCTCACCATCAATAACAATCCCACGGAGGAGTTTCTCAACTGTTTTCTCTTTTTAACCCTGTGGTCATAGTCAATTGTAATTGTCAGCAGTATCCACATTCACGCAGTACCTGCTCCCTTTTCTTTAGAAGGTTTTTTTTCTGCCGAAAGTGGTGCTGGAGAGTCAGGCTCCGGTGAAGGATCTGGGGAAGGTTGAGATTGGATGCAGTCGCTTCAAAGGGTGAGACGGTGCTGGTAGTGAAGGGTAAGGGGAAACCGATGATGTAGAAGATGAGAATCTATCTATTTAGCCTTTTACTACATCGTCATCTGCGGCAATACTGGATGAAGCAGTTAGGAAATTTAGAGAGTAATAAGCTTGGTGATCTGGCAAAGGGTTTTAGTGGGGGTAGTGTAAGACGCATAAACCAATTCTCCTCTTACAATCTGTCATGAAGAAAAGATAGTCTGTTCTGTTTCTGTCTACCCTCCCTCCCCTAACCACCAAACACAACCCTGAACCTCCCTCCCCCTCTTTTCTCTTTCTTCTTTTCTAAGCAAAAAATTTCGCTTAGAGGAGATTACATGGAATTGGGGGGAGATTGTTAGAGAATGTGGTTGATGGATCATGTAAAGTGAACCCATAATCAGAAAGCTGATGACTCCCACCTTGATGCATAGTCCTTCCCTATCCTTCTTTTGATGATTAAAGGATATTAATATTCAGATGGTTGCATTTATCCATTTTATGGGTTTATGATGATGTAGAGTTTTCCTTTTAAACCACTTACATGTTCTGGGTTATACTAATTGTTTGCATATATGATAACACTCAAATATGTTATTGCCCACGAGTCTATTACTTCCAAAGGGAAGGGTGACAGTGAATAAAAGAAGGAAGTGGCATCATTTGAACTGAATTTGATGGTACTGATGTTTCCCTTTGTCTTTCAGAGAGCTTGGCCAAGTTCCCTAGAAGGACAGCTGCGTCATCTGGGTTTCATAGTCAACCTCAACAACTGGATGAACCGCAGCAGCAGCAGCAAACAGTGGCTCAGAACTCAAACAATGATAGCTCTGTCCAGGCAACTGCAATGCAACTTGCTTCCAGCAATGGTTTGCCTAGTGTAAATAACCCTCTTAACTCGGCATCAGCAATTTCCTCCGCTAGTACCATTGTTGGGATTCTCCACCAGAACTCTATGAACTCGAGTCAGCAAAACCTGATGAATAGTGTAAATAGTCCCTATGGAGGAAGTGGTGTCCAGATGGCATCCCCAGGTTCCTCTAGTACATTACCACAGGCTCAACCCCAGCCTTCTCCATTTCAATCACCGACACCATCCTCATCTCACAATCCACCACCGACTTCTCATAGTGGCTTAACTGCAGGAACACACATTAACTCTGCAAATTCCCCAAATATTTCCATGCAACATCCTGCTCTTTCTGGTGATCCTGACCCAAGTGATTCTCAGAGCTCTGTCCAGAAAATCTTACAGGAAATGATTATGTCTAACCAACTTGGTGGGGGCATGGTTGGTGTTGGTTCGATGGGGAACAGCATGAAAAATGCCAATGGATCATTGCCAACAGGCAATAGTGCAGGTCTCAATGGTGGCAACAATGCAGTGGGGAATGGGATAGCCAATGGTAACTCTGGTATTGGGGTTGCAGGATTTGGTAACATGGGTAATGGACTTGGCCAGTCTGCCATGGCTAATGGATTTCGAGCCGCAATGGGTAATAGTCCTGTGACTATGAATGGAAGGGTTAGCATGGCAATGGCACGAGATCAGAATATGAACCATCAGCAGCCGGATCTGGGGAACCAACTGCTTAATGGTTTTGGAGCAGTCAATGGTTTCAGTAATCTTCAGTTTGATTGGAAACCATCTCCGTGATATTTTCCGTCAATTGTTGATGAACCGGTCCTTGAGCACTGCTGCTTGTGCAGTACAGAAATTCAAGCATTTCTCTTTAGCCCTGGGGTGCATGATCAAAAAAGATGAATTGGTTTCAGGGCTTCCCTCCAGCTTTGTCCGGATTTCAGAGAAAATGGAAAGAAATAGCATAGTTGCTTAATAGTTGAAATGCTATATCATTCTAAGTTGCTTCATTTACTTCTAACCTGTTTTCCATGTTTTATGATGCAATACAGCTGCTTAAGCTTACTAACAGCCTCGGAATGGGAAAGTTAAGACATAACTACTGTTGAAATTTTCTTGGTATCCACTACCTACCTCTTTTCCGAGCAATTTGTAAACTAGAGTATCTCGGAGTTTCTTTGCCTATTCGAAATGTGAGTGTATATATTCTATGTAGTGCTTCGAAGCAATGTTAGTGTAGGACTTTCAAGAGCTGCTAATGATCATCAGTGATTAAATTCTGAATATCTTTTTATTTTGTCACTACACATTTGTGGCTGAAAATTGCAAGGCCCATAGGAGCTTTCCTTGAGTCCTTGCTAGGCATTTTTGGAACTTTTGTAGCGCTGCAGATTTTAGTCGTTTGTTGATGTTAATATTAGTAATTTCTTTGGTTTTTTGTTCAGTTTTTAATGTTCTTTTTTCTTTTTCTTTTTTTGTCAATGGCACACCCCAAGTTGTTAGTATGCAACAGGTTGTGCAACATCACTGTATCATAAAGTTATGTTTCTGTAAATGGGTTAATGGAATATCTGATTTGGTTCACCCACTGTTGCAAGTGAAAGATTTGTTTGAATCACTGAATTAGACTACAATTCGGGTGAGCGACCAACAGTTACTTGGTATGTGGTTTGATCTTGAGACACGTAAGGTGGGTGATATGGCCCTTTGTCAAGAATCGGCGGATTCAAATCTCCTTCAATTGTTTTTGTCCCATTCCTTATTTATAGGTTATTATCATGTATTTGTCAGGGATAGCTTATGTTGTGGGTTTTACTTGAATTTATAATAGGCGATCAATTGGCAAAAAAAAAATGTATTGGAGGAGAGCTGACTCTTGAATTCAGATTTATACGTTTTTTTTTTTTTTTTTTTTTTTCTCCGGTCTGATCGCATTTTTGCGGTAGTAGTTGCATTTATACAATAATAATTGCTATTGTGAATATTATAGGCATTAATATTTGTTACAAGCTCTCATCAAATGTCCAAATACTTCTCTATTGTGGCTATAAAGGTAGACTTTGGCACTGCACCAATGACACTTTCTTTCTTCTCCCCATCCTTGAGAAACAAAACAGTTGGGATGCCTCTGATTCCATATTGTTTTGGTATGTTCGGGTATTCATCGGTGTTGAGCTTGAAACACAGAATTTTTCCGGCATATTCTTTTGCCAGTTCATCGATGACCGGTGCGATCATCTGGCATGGCCCACACAATGGTGCCCAAAACTCCACCAGCACAGGACGTTCACTAGCAACAACAAACTCATTCCAGCTGCAATCTGTCACCACTTCAACTGCAGATTCCACAAAAGTCTACACATTATCTAATTGGGCAAACATAGACTTGGGATCATATAAAATGGCATCATAATGCATGAGGCAAGGTGAGTTACATCTATGTTTTGTGACTTCGGGGCAAAGAGTTTGCTTTCGTGACTCGAATTAATGTTATAATTGAACAAGCTTACAAGAAACTGTTGGAATCAAGGGGAGGCTACATAGGCCAAACATTGGAATCACAAAAAGGGCAGGAAAAAAAAAGTTTTTCTTGGATTTTCAGTCCTTCATATATAAGAGTTCTTTTATTTTCTTTTATTTTTTCCCTCTATATTTTGATTGTTTTACTTTCAGCCACACAACACATNAGTTTTTCTTGGATTTTCAGTCCTTCATATATAAGAGTTCTTTTATTATCTTTTATTTTTTCCCTCTATATTTTGATTGTTTTACTTTCAGCCACACAACACATATGAATGAACAGAGAAACTGTGACTTGGGAATTCATTGACCATTGCAAAGGGTTGTCAAGAGAGTACCCCCATAACATCTTGTGAATATGGATGCTAATAATACTTCTCAATGTTTTTTGCTCTTTTTCCTGAACTAGATAGATATATTTGCAATAAAAGTTTCAAAACTACTATGTGTTTCTATGTTTGTGTGTCTCTGAGAGAGAGAGAGAGAGAGAGAGAGAGAGACCTTCCACAGCCTCACGAGCTTTGCGGACGATGCGGCGGGTGCGGCTGATAGATGGATGATCTAAGGATGAGGATGATGAATACCATGATACACCGGACGAGTTCAGTCCTTTACATGTGGGCAAATTAAGCTTTTCTATGGAAGAAAATGGATGGCGAGCTTGTAGAACACCAGCTCTGGAAGTACAAACAGTGCCAACTCCAAAACAGTTCTCCAAAGCCATTTCACTTCTCTCTCTCTCTNGTGTGCGGCTGATCGATGGATGATCTAAGGATGAGGATGATGAATACCATGATACACCGGACGAGTTCAGTCCTTTACATGTGGCCAAATTAAGCTTTTCTATGGAAGAAAATGGATGGCGAGCTTGTAGAACACCAGCTCTGGAAGTACAAACAGTGCCAACTCCAAAACAGTTCTCCAAAGCCATTTCACTTCTCTCTCTCTCTCTCTCTCTCTGTNAGGATGAGGATGATGAATACCATGATACACCGGACGAGTTCAGTCCTTTACATGTGGCCAAATTAAGCTTTTCTATGGAAGAAAATGGATGGCGAGCTTGTAGAACACCAGCTCTGGAAGTACAAACAGTGCCAACTCCAAAACAGTTCTCCAAAGCCATTTCACTTCTCGCTCTCTCTCTCTCTCTCTCTCTGTGTTGTGCTGTGTGGGTCTTTGTTATTGTTTGTGAGGTGATCATTAGGGTGCTCAATTTCTTGTGGATGATATTAAATGGCTGTGATTTAAATGAAAATTCCAAACGACAAAGCGTGCATGTGAGATTTTGAGTGCTTAGTGACCATAGGTTGTCTNCTCTCTCTCTCTCTCTCTCTGTGTGTGGGTCTTTGTTATTGTTTGTGAGGTGATCATTAGGGTGTTCAATTTCTTGTGGATGATATTAAATGGCTGTGATTTAAATGAAAATTCCAAACGACAAAGCGTGCATGTGAGATTTTGAGTGCTTAGTGACCATAGGTTGTCTTATGAGTTCTTTATCCATGTGAGAGAGGAGACTAAAATACAACTCTAGACATTTTCGTCAACGTACATGGGCAGAAAATGGAAAAGTCAATAGGTAATATTGGTTACATTAAAGGGTTTTTTGGTGGTGATATGCCTTGGTTTGAATTGGGCCTAATCTACAAATTGTTCAACCCAATTGTGATTTAACCCAGATGACTATTGAGTTTGGGCCACAAACGCAGAATCCAGGTCCAGTTAACTATGCTCGAGCTAAGTTGTCGATGGTTTTTTTTGTCTTTGGCTNTTGGCGGTGATATGCCTTGGTTTGAATTGGACCTAATCTACAAATTGTTCAACCCAATTGTGATTTAACCCAGATGACTATTGAGTTTGGGCCACAAACGCAGAATCCAGGTCCAGTTAACTATGCTCGAGCTAAGTTGTCGATGGTTTTTTTTGTCTTTGGCTATTGATAAAAAAAAAAAAGAAAAAAAGAAGCAAGCACTGAATATTGAGGTGTTGGATTTATTAATTTGAAAAAAAAAATTGGTATGTACTAAAAAATTAGCACTGAATTATATCGAATTGTTTGACTAACGGAAGAAGCTAAAGTATGAAGGTCAGCCATTTTTAATTTTTTCCACCCATATCCATCATTCAACATACATTATCGTTGTTGCTACCACCATTTCTCTCCCCTCTCCCAACCCCTCATTGTCGCGACCCCTCTCCCCATTTTCCGCCACCATCATGTTCACCCCACAACTACTTAATGGTGGTGGTAGATATGGTGGGAATATGATGATGTTGTGGAGTGACAAAGATGATGGCAATGGTGAAACAACCGGGGGGGAGGGGGGGGTGAGGTTGTGGTGGCAATGGGATGGTGGTGATGTCAATGGTTGTTGCGATTGTGATGAGGTTGGTGGTATATGATAGCAACAAAAATTAATGGCTAGGCGGAAGGCGCATGGTGGCGATTATGGGTATAGAAATTGGGTGATGGTAATGACGATAGTGATGACAGTGAAGTGATTGTGAGACAACAATACTGATGGTGGAGGTAAGTTGAGATTTGTGGTGTAAGATGGAATATAATCTAATTTTGTAGTGGTAAATTGGTTCAAAATATAAAAGTTTATGAGGTTATGATTTATTGGTTGTTTTCAAAATTCAATGATTGTTGAAAGGACAAGGGTTGCTGCTTTTCATTACATTTTGGAGAGATTCTTAAATTTTTATGGGTTGTGAATTTTGGTTATCAAACATATTTAATTGATTTTTAATTTTTTTTTTAATTTTTAATGTTGAATTGAGCTATGAAAGTTCACCTAAGGATGGTNTACTTTTCATTACATTTTGGAGAGATTCTTAAATTTTTATGGGTTGTGAATTTTGGTTATCAAACATATTTAATTGATTTTTAAATTTTTTTTTTTTAATTTTTAATGTTGAATTGAGCTATGAAAGTTCACCTAAGGATGGTGGTGAATGCAAATGATTGAAAAGGACCAAAAAATAAATGCTCAAGAGAATATTGAGCTCGAGTGTGCTTACATATTTTTTTTTAATAAGATGAATTAGAAAATAAGTTTTTAAATTGGAAAGATATTGGGGGCGAGAATAGTTAGTTTTCAAATTGTCTACAATGATGTGAGTAGAGAGTAATTTGTATCTTGATGGGAGTGAAAATGACCTGTAATATTTATTTATTTTTTGATTCAATGGTCACGGGTGTTGGGGTTAATTTATGTATATCTTAATTAATTTTCTCTCTGGTCTAGTCAAAGTTAAACCATCTACGCCAAAATTAGGGTATTTATGAGGGACAATTCCCTCATTATCTAACCATAAGAAAATCAAAATTTGAACTTAAGACGTTTGAATTTATCACTCGTCCTTGCTACTACTTGAACTATACCTTTAGTTGATGATATTTTATTTTTGGGTATAGGAATAGCCCCACTCAAGGACACCCCGTTTTAAAATTTTTTATTTTCACTACTTTATTATTATTTTTGAAGATATTATAAAAATCCCTAGAGAATTTCTTCCACCTGAAACTAAAAACAAATTTTGATAAAAAAAAAAACTAAAAACAACAAAAATAAATAGTAGGGAAAATTTCAACCACACCCCCTGTAGTTTATCATATCTTCAAGGACACCCCCTCTAATTTCTGAATCTTCAATGACACCCCTTTCAGATTAAAAATATCAAGTAGAATGTAATTTTACTAACTTTTCCGAGATATATTTGAGGACAAACTTCATCCACACCCCCTCTAGATAAATATATTTTCAATGAGACCTCTCTAGATAAGTATATTTTCAATGAGACTTCATCTTTTTTCTAATTTTTTTTACGTAATTAAATTCAAATCGATTAAAATTCGATTCAAGCTNTAATAAGATGAATTAGAAAATAAGTTTTTAAATTGGAAAGATATTGGGGGCGAGAATAGTTAATTTTCAAATTGTCTACAATGATGTGAGTAGAGAGTAATTTGTATCTTGATGGGAGTGAAAATGACCTGTATTATTTATTTATTTTTTGATTCAATGGTCAGGGTGTTGGGGTTAATTTATGTATATCTTAATTAATTTTCTCTCCGGTCTAGTCAAAGTTAAATCATCTACGCCAAAATTAGGGTATTTATGAGGGACAATTCCCTCATTATCTAACCATAAGAAAACTAAAATTTGAACTTAAAACGTTTGAATTTATCGCTCGTCTTTGCTACTACTTGAACTATACCTTTAGTTAATGACATTTTATTTTTGGGTACAGGAATAGCCCCACTCAAGGACACCCGTTTTAAAATTTTTTATTTTCACTACTTTATTATTATTTTAGAAGATATTATAAAAATCCCTAGAGAATTTCTTCCGCCTAAAACTAAAAACAAATTTTGATAAAAAAAAAACTAAAAACAACAAAAATAAATAGTAGGGAAAATTTCAATCACACTCCCTGTAGTTTATCATATCTTCAAGGACACCCCCTTTAATTTCTGAATCTTCAATGACACCCCTTTCAGATTAAAAATATCAAGTATAATGTAATTTTACTAATTTTCCCAAGATATATTTGAGGACAAATTTCATCCACACCCCCTCTAAATAAATATATCTTCAATGAGACCCCTCTAGATAAGTATATTTTCAATGAGACTTCATCTGTTTTCTAATTTTTTTTACGTAATTAAATTCAAATCGATTAAAATTCGATTCAAGCTAATTAAAATTTATTTTTTTACATATTAANAGTTTATTTTTTTAAATATTAAAATTTGTGCCAATTAAAAATTATATTTTTTTTACGTATTAGAATTTGGGATAGTTAAAATTTTGTTTGAACCAATTAAAAATTATTTTTAATCGACTCAAATCAAATTTTAATTAATTCTCATTGAAATTTAATCGGCCTAAATTTTAATATATAAAAATATATGAATTTTAATTGACTTAAATTTTAATAAATCTAATTTTAATTAACACAAATTTTAATAAGAAAAAAATATAAATTATAATCAACTCGAAAGATAATTTTAATCGGCCCTAACAACTGGGATAAAGTTCAAATTTTAATATGTAAAAAAGAATTTTAATAGGCTCAATTATTTTTTTCAAATTTACTAATTAGTAAATAAAAAATTATTATTTACTAACAAATTATTTACTAAAATTATTATTTATGATTTTTTTTTTAAATTTTAACAGCTCGAATTTTAATAAAATTTTATGTAAAAAAATTACTTGAGGTTATGTAGGAGCATTTTTGGTATTTTAGATGAATTTATTTTGTTAGAAATAATAGTTTAATGGTAGGGGGTGTTACTGATGTTTAAATTAAACTAGAAGGGGTGTCAATGAATATTCAAAAATTAAAAGAGTGTCTTTAAAAATATGATAAACTAGAAGAGGTGTTATTGAACTTTTTCCTAAATAGTAACAAAAAGTTAACCTAAACCCTTTTATCTGTACAACGATTGTTTTCGTTTTAATGTACGAGCATTAGACTGTTTTCAAGTTATCAGTGCAAGTTCTGTCTCGCAGCAATCTCTCTCTCTCTCTCTCTCCTCACTGAAATCCGATTTCTTCTGTCGGAGAAACAACGCATGAGTTCTCCAACCCGTAAATGTGAAAGCTCCCAAGAGCACAAATCAAGTAATGGTATCAAGCCCAACACTTTCTTCGATGTGTACGGACCTGAGGTACTCTCTCTCTCTCTCACATGCGTGTGTGTATTATGTATTTGAGAAAGTGGTATAGAACGGCTTTTTAGTGATTTTGATGTTCATTGTTGATGGGTATTGTTTAGTGGTGACAAGCAATTGGTTTTAGGTTAACTAGTGGAGTCATGTGTGAACTATAGAAACTTGTCCGCTGAATTTACAGACAAATATGAACAGTTTCTGTGAGCTATCTTTTCGGAAATACAAAAATCTTGCATCTATGGCCATGATATTTGGCGGAGGGGTGCAGTGGGGGTTGGGGTAGGGGGTAACCCCTGCTTGGTTACTTGGAAAAAGGAGGGAATGGAAAGGGAAAAAGGATGTTGAGACCACTTAATATTTGACCATTTCCTTTAACTACCCTCACATAATTTGAAAAGTGAGCATAATATATTAGAAAGGATCCTCTAGGCTAAGTTTTTTTGAAAGTTGCTTGGGTTAGATGGCCGTTTTGATAATCATAAAGTTAGCAACTGGTGAAGAGTATAATGTGAATTTTGGTAGGGAAGTGCTTCAGACTAACACACCTAGGAAAAGAACAACTCTTGGGGCATCAAAAGAAAGGAACATCTGATTCCAAACAACTTAAAATTCTGTAATTTTTCTTACCTGTTTTCTTTTATAAATTATGCTATCATTGTGGTGTTTAAAATCCTAATGCAGGTATATTCATTTATTAAGCTGTTCTTGGTGGGTGTGAAATGCATAAATTGAACTCACTTGTGAGTGTGATGCAGGGGAGAGCGGATATTACTTTTAAGAAGCCAGAAGCTGACTCAACGTTGAATTTGCAAGTATATTTTCACGGCCATCTAAGGTTCTGTAATATTTAGTCAATTTCTCTCAGAGTTATCATTGGTTTTCATGTGATCAAACAGGATGTTCAAGGACTTGTCACTTGGGTGCTTGCTGAAGGATTCATGCCATCATGGGTTTTTATCAAAGTAAACAACATATTTGGCTCCTTTGGCTCGTGTTTACGTTTGTTGATAACGATATACATATATATGCACATATGTAAAATCAATGTCAATTACCAAATTTTGACATCGTTAGTCAGGGATACCGAGAGGAGTTGACTGAGTCTGTACTTTGCATTGTTTGCATAGAGATTGGCTGCCTCATATTCGTACTCACAACAGTTGTTAGTCCGACACTTTTACTACAAAAGGAAATGAATCATTATTTATATGCCTCAATAGATGTATATATCCATTAGCAGCATTGTTTTTATGTGAAACTTTTGCTTGGGTTTGGATGCCTGATTTAGACATTTGGATGCTTTAGTTCTTTGGAAAATAGATGTAATATTGATCAAAAACATTGCTGTTATATTTTGAATATATTTTGGAAGTGAGATATCTTATGCCATGCATTCTTTGACAAATGCTGTGTACATGATGGAACTAGACTTTTGATTATTCTTTCCTGTTTTTCTTCACTGTTCTTTTGTTTGGAAGGGCATGTAGTGATTGATGTAACTTATTATTTGTCCACAATTAACACCTCTCTAATTTCAACAAACAACACTATTTTTTTCATCTTCTTATAGATACCAAATTTTATATTCCTCTGATATGCAGAACAAGCCACTGATACCAAAAGTTGTTATGCTTTATATCCCTGGCCTTGATGCTGCTCTGTACTTGTCACAGTCTAAAGTACTCAATTGTTTTAAAGAATTCTGTGGCATTCCAAGGGCAGTTTTAGCTCTTAGGTGGGTAAATGAGCACACTTCCTCGTAATAAAAAGGGTTGCTTGAATATTTTCTTATTTTTATGATTTTTGGCCTTTTGTTTTTGTTCAATGCTAGTTGTGTATCAGATGGAATTCAGACTATAGATGCACTCCTAACATGCAAGCAGAAAAGAAAAAGAGATGGAGCTGAGTCAGCCTTGAAGAAAGCTGCAAAGACATCTGAACAAGGTCTGTGGCCATTCAATCTTCCTGATGAGAGATCTGCTTGTGTTCCTTGTATTTTTTTTTTGTGAATTTGGGGTCGGTTTTTGGAGGGCCCTGAGAAGACAAAAATAGTAACTTTAAGATGAGCTTTTGTGCTTTGGGGTGTGTTCAATGATTGCTTGAGGTGATTTCATGCCAGTTGAAAATGGGTTTTAGTTGCTTTTTATGAATCACCTTCGTAGTGCCATCATTCATCTCTTAGTAGCCTCCCTATGATTGTTGCTAATTTGGTAAAAATGATTTCTGTTTATAGTTTTCCAAGACTAAATTGTTAAAGGAAGAGTTAAAGTGGTCCTTGCCCCTTATCTTTTGAGGTTGAACAAGCTGAAGAGTATAGGGTAATTGAGTGAAGCTTGCATGTTGGTCTTTTATTTCCAAATTTCTAGTCCAGCATCTCTCATGCCCTGATCTACTCAATTTCTTAGATTGTTGCAGACCCACGTGCATCTTTATTTTTTAAAATGCATAAGGTATACTTAATATAGTCAATGTTCAGCTCATCCTTGACATTAGAGTTCAGCAACCAATATCCTTCGTCATATTTAGTGGCCAAAGGAACAACCATTTACAAGAACATGTGTTGAGATTAGATCACCAAACTCGCGGTTGACTGGTACCTTTTCCTAATCTGCCTTGTAACTGCTGTTGTATGACTCTCTCATATTGGTGCTTCGCCTATAGCATTTCACTTTTGAAATTAGGAAGTCGTTGCTCTTCTAAGTGTCCACATTAGTCATATGCCAAAAAAAACGCAGCACTTGATCTGGTGTTGGTTAAACTTTTTTGGTCTATGTACTGGGCATGCTACACAATCGTTTTACCTGTTGGTTGAATGCTGCAATTGTTATCTTCTCCAAATCGTTAAATCAACTCTCTTATTGATGGGAAATATGAGTTTGAATTTTCTGCATTGCATCTAAGAACTAAGGACATTGATAGATGGGGCCACAATAGTGGTAGACATAATACTCCTAGATTTATCAATTTCAATCGCCATGATTAGAACATGACTGACGAGAATTGGACATGTAAAGTGCACAACCAACATGTTTACTGGGAAAAATAGTTTGATAGCTTAGAAGGAAAAAAATGATATCTGCCCTTTACACACATGCCAGCTTTGAAACATAAGTGAGAGTCAAGGAGGGTTTAGATGGAGGAGCAAAGAAGAACAGAAGAACAAAACAAGGAATCTTCTGCATTTCTATGCTTATACCATGTCAAATTAATCTCTTTGATTGTGCCCATGCCATATAGCATTGTTCTATGAAACACTTAGTGTCTTCCATGTCAGCATGTCAAGCATGTCAATTTAAGTCATTATCTTCTTTGTGTTGCAGGAACTTTTGCTTCTGGTTCAGATTGCTCATCCTCTGTTAATATTTTGAAAGATATTCCATTCCCAATTAGGTACTACACACTTACAACAAAGCAACTAGAGGATAATGGATACTGTTGTAACCAACCAGGTGACTAGCACATTGTGCATTGATTTCCATTATTGTTTGCTCATGTATGCTATTATCTTTTTATTGTATTTTGTAGTTGTTAGGTAGTTCCATGAAATATTATACTGACACGAATGCAGGTTTTCTTTCCACTCTTCCTGCTCCACCGGGAAACCTTCCTCATGAAATTTTGGCACTTGATTGTGAGATGGTAAGGCTTGTGTAATTCCTGACTTCATTTCAATATCAGATGATGTTTTACCGCACATAAAGCTGGTATCAAAGATATTGATGAGTTATTTTATATATAAATCATAATATTAAGCTAATTCTGTAGGCTGTTTTCTTGTCTTATATAGATAGTTACAGGAATTGGGAAAGGAAGTTTTGTAAAGTAATGATAATACTAATGTCTTATATGATGCTGCTGTTTCAGAGTTTGGAAGATCAGTAATATTGAACTATAGTGACCAATGCTAAGTCTTGTAACAACCAATTCTTGGTGTGGGTGACCAAGGGCTCAAGAATGTGATCTATTTTATGAATGGGTGAAAGTTTATCAATAGATCTTTGACCATGAGCAATATTTTTCACATTAATGCCTATGTGATGAAGAGGCATCATGTCCTATTAATGAGTTAGCAGTATGAGGGAAACACTGCGTTGGAGCGATGATAATACAATTAAATTGTAGTCAACTTATTGGTTAGGGATTGAGTCAACCCTACCTAATTACAAATTGATCCACTCCGTAAAACTAATTTTCATCAATTTCAAAGACTCCTAATTTTTTAATTCAATTTTTTCTCACACTACTTCATATTAAAAGTTTATTCCGTTTATATACAAGTTCGTATTCTTATCTGAAATTATGTTACATTCATGTCCTATGTTCAATTTAGTGATTATAACTATTTTATATTATGACTTCGATTCATATTTTTTTAAAATTACCAAAATAACTCCCTTAATGATACAGTTATCTGAAAAGTTTTCAAAAAAATGAAAAAAAATACTCAAAATGTGTCCTCCACGAGTCCTAAGCGTGTTCAAAATGTGTCTTGAAAAAATTTAACAATAAAATAATCGGACACTTATTTTAGCATGTCCGAGCGTGTGAAAACTATGTCTATGTCCCAGACGTGTCCGACATCGACATTTTGACTAAAATGAAGTGTTCGTGTTTCTTAACCTTGAAGAAATACGTGGCCAAAGAATGTGTGCTCAAGGAAGCAACAGGAGTCCTTTGGATAGTCATAGTATAGGTTTTTTTAAATATCCCTGTATCTCATTCTAAAAAGTACGGACACAAACATAGGACNAACAGCCGGAGTCCTTTGGATAGTCATAGTATAGGTTTTTTTTAAATATCCCAATATCTCATTCTGAAAAGTACGGACACAAACATAGGACTGGGATACGACACTGACACACATACACGACATTTCTAAAAAAAGTAAGATACAAATACATTGGGGATACGCTACAAAAAATTATATTTTATATATAACATTATATAATTTATCGTAAATATAGTGATAATGATTTGCAATTCATAAAAAATTCAGTATTGTATGATAGTAAAATCTTTTGTGTAGTCATCTATGTCAATATTTAGATTAAAGCATCATCATAATCATCAATTTTTTTTGTAGACAATGTGTTCCTAATATATCTTTTATTTTTATTATTGTATTTAGAGTACAACTTTAATATGTCTAGTGTTAATAAGTATATGTTCTCAGAATTTTAAATTTTGTTAATCACATTTCAACACATGTTTATTGTTTAGTAGTAGATACATTCTAAAGAAATCAGACACGTCACAAAAGAAGTATTGGACACGAGTCCGGAAATAAAATTTTATCATTTAATTATGGACACAAATAAAAGAGTATCGGATACGTGTCCGAGAGTATCTGAGGAGTGTCTGTGTCCGACACGAGTACGTCACCTTTTCGAGAGTGTCCGNACACGTGTCCGAGTATCTGAAGAGTGTCTGTGTCCGACACGGATACGTCACCTTTTCGAGAGTGTCCGTGCTTCGTAGATCTCATCATCTCAGCATTTACTACTCAACTCAACAAAATTTTGTCCCAACATTTTTGGGGTTGACTTCTTTCACACTTATGCTCTGTCTGAGGTCATGTTTTTTATTAAACCATAAGTTATCATGTCATTCTTTACTATTTCTTTTAAAGTTAATTTTGGCCTACCCCTACCCCTATGCATACCGTTAATACTTATCATATTATTCTTTCTCGGCAGGGCCGTCTATAGATATGTCTAAATCACCTAAGTCGATTCTCGCTTAATTTATCCCCTATAGGTACCACCTCTACTTTTTCATAGATAATATCATTCTTAATTCTATTCTTCCTAATTTTACCGTACATCCATCTTAACATATCCTCATTTCCGCCACACTCAATTTGTGAACGTGTTGTTTTCTTAGTTGCCCAACACTCCATACCATAAAACATAGCTGATCTTATGGTCGTTGTGTAGAACTTTCCTTTCAGCTTAATTGGTATATGCCTAGCACATGATACCCCAGATACATTCCTCCATTTAGTCCATATATGAGTAACATTGTCACTAATCTTACGCACACTATGAATAATAGTACCTCAGAAAAAAAAGGCTTAACAAGGAAGTCATATGGTCAATCGCAACAACAAAATTGAAGGTTAGAGAGTTTACTTGCTTGGGGTGCCACTTGAATTCATTTGTTAATTGCCTTGAAGAGTAGCTAACTTTCAATAATCTTCTTCCTTAAGAGTGGAAGTATAGTATCAGAGAAGATTATTTACTAATCTGAAGGTTGAATTTGTGGGAAAGATCTTGTTCAAACTTGCAATAGGTATGATAGTTACAAGATTGAGTTGTATGCCTTGAAAAGTAATTCACCATTCTTGAAAATTATGATCGATTAAACTGCAATCAACCAATCTCATTGATTCTTGGTCATTTTTTTTGGTGGTGTTAGTGTGTTACAAGTGAGGGGTTTGAGCTTACGAGAGTTACACTGGTGGATGTTAATGGACAGGTACAGTTGATCTAATTCTTTTGCTTTCTATCTTGCATAGAGCCTGGTTTATTCAGCTTTTCCATATCTTTTCCAAGTTGGAGCTGGGTGGCGTGGGGGCTTGGTGGTTGACTTTGGGGGTACATTTCATCACACTGAGCTTATTCATCTAATTGCCTGATTGTTTGTCACTTGTGAATACATTATTATTTTTACATGTAGGTTATATTGTGGAAAATAAAAGCAAATTATTTTCGTTCACTTAATTTTTTAAGTTCACCTAGAGCTTGGCTTTAACATTATGTCTATTATTGTATCTTATATGCTGCATTCTAGAAAGTACACCCTGCACCTTGAAATTGTTCGCCACATTGCAAAATGTGCTATGTTCTTAACTAGGAAAAATTACGTCATATTAGTTATTATCCCTTCCTTCTCCTTTATCACCATAATCTGTAATTACAGCCCATACATTTACTAGTTGCATTGGGGGTTTTGGCAACATAGTTCTTGCCCTGGGGTTCTGATTGTGTAGATCCACATCCTGACTTTTTTTGACGATCCAAACCATGTTCGGGAGTGAAGTCGGATATTTCACTGCATATTGGATTCTTGTTTGTTCTGGATATTTCTGGCTGATTGTACTTAGTTTTCACAGGTTGTGTTGGACAAATTGGTTAAACCATCAAACACTATCATTGACTACAACACTAGGTATCTTTTGCAATTTACTTAATTTCTCACTGGATGATTTTTTCTGTTTGTGCTTGAACATTATCTATATCATGTAGTTTGATTCTTCATTGTTATCCTGGAGTATCTAGGCTGCTTATCAATGTTATACGTTCAGCTGACTTTGCATTTGCTGCTGGCATATAGCTTAAGGAATAAGCATGTATCATAATCAGTACATGAATGTGCTGACAATCTGATTTTTTAAGTAATGCTGGCTTTACAAGTAGAAGGGCTTTTGAGCTCTGGAATATTCAGGGATGTTTTGTTATGGTCATAACTTTTAAGTCTTTCTTATTAGCTGAAAATAGCTCAAGGATGTCTACTGTGAGTAGATGAGTTTTTTAAAATAGGATTGGAGTCCATTATGATAGTCCAAGGGTTTTGCATGTGATTGCTTTCGAGAACAACAAAAACAATGGTCAATCACATTGGAATCAAGATAGAAGAATGACGCTACAGTGGAAATCCACTAATCGGAGTAGGATAAATGGGTGTTGTGTAAACAGTGGTTTTGTGCTGTTTGTCACTATCTTGGTGGGCTATGGTTGACACAATTTGAAGGGTTATTACCTGAAGTTGTTCAATCAATTTTTTAGATAAAAAGAATGATGGTTAAATATTGATGACATGCTAAATGTTGTTGGCAGTTTATGAAGTTAGAAGAATAAAAGAAGAAGAAAGGAAATAAAATAGCTTAGACCTCAAACCTGAGAGATGGTGCCTCACGAATTACAGATATGAGAGAAAAATATCTTTTCCTTCATTCTATAGTAAAGCAATCCAACAGATTTTGACCTACTGACCCATCATGTAAACCAATTTACCTAGAAGAACCCAAAATATGAANATGAGAGAAAAATATCTTTTCCTTCATTCTATTGTAAAGCAATCCAACAGATTTTGACCTACTGACCCATCATGTAAACCAATTTACCTAGAAGAACCCAAAATATGAAACGCGCTCATGGTTACCTGCCTTCAAAGCCGAAAAATGAAAGAATCAAAATATCCTCAACTTACAAAATTAATAACATAATTTGATCAATAAGGGTATGTTTGATTAGAAAGATTGGAACGAAAAAGTGATATGAAAGAAGGTAATATATTTTTCTACATGCATTTGATTGGGATGAAAATCTACTCAGAAAGTCAGAGGAAAATTTTCATCGCTGGTTTGGAAAGAGTGAAAGTTGCAAGCATAATGGTCTAAATTACCCTAATGCACGTTTAAATTAGAGAACCACTAAGGAAAGAGGATTAATGATGTATGCTTAGTATCTGATTATTCATCATATGGGTCCTTAGATTCATATATCAATTAATGAGCTTTGTATTGCAAGCTTTTTCAAGGGTGATTTGANCGAACAAGATGATGCTAGAGATCTGTCACCGAATAATAATTGAAAACCTTCAAGACAGCATTATTTCAAACACTTTGTAAGCACACTTTTTTTTTTATTAGAAATTAACAAATGTTCAAAAAGTACAAAGGACATATCATAGTTGGACAATACATCCAAAAACTAAGATATGAAGACAAAAGAAACAAAAAAACCCATGCATAGACAAGAACTATATTCCACATGATGCAGTCCAACTCAAAATAATGCAACGAAGAGGGATATCTTCAAGCTCTTTAGACACGGAGGCCCAAAAGGAAGCCATAACTATTGAAATGTTAAGACTGTCATCAAACACTTAGAAATTTTGTATATCTACTTGCTTTCTTTTTCCCGTTGGATAGAATATGAGAAGAAAAAGCGAAATGGAGATGACAAGAGGAATAAGATGGATATGTGCAGGAATCTTTTAAGATGGAAGAAAATGAGGGAAAACCCTAGATTTCACTAGGAGCCTTGAATCCACAATGAGAAAGCGAAAGAAATGCTAGCAATCTAGAATCCATAGGGGCTTTGGATCATCAAGAAGAGAGAGGTAAGCATAGAGAGATCCAATAGAAATAGGAGATTAGATTGGAGAGAAAGAGATGAGGAAAATGGAGAAATGATAGAGGAAAGATAAAAGGGGAGATACATGACCAAAGTCTCATTGATATATTAAGAAATTTCTCATATTGGAGGCTGCTTCTTTCTTGTATGACAACTTTGAGGCTTTTTTATAGCATCTCCAAAAGGCTAAAAATATACTCAAATTATCAAAATGACCCTTTTACCAATGTTATTAAAAGTGCGCCTAGGTGATTGCCTGAGAGGCGAGCCAGGTTGGTTGGAGTGTTCGAAGCAAAGCAAGGATTAAGTGTTCAAGATGATATGAGAAGCAAAGAAACGAACACTTTACTAGATTTTTTATTTTTCTTTTTGGTTCTATTATCTGCCATTAGATTTGATCCATTGGATCAAAGATTGTCGACTACACTTTTATGATAGATGAGGAAAAGACAATTTTAGATGAGGCGGAGGAGGCCGGTATAGAGGGATATGAATCGAAGGACAATGAAGAAGGTGATGAGGATGATTTTTGGGTCCTCGTCTTTATAGACTTTCAAGTTATGATGGTCTTTGTGTTGCTTCATTTGTGTGATCTTCTTCTTATCCAGTTTCTTGAGATTTTGGATTCTACAGGAATCTTAATGATAGAGAATATTCGGAGTCATTGATACTTCTTTATTTGCTTAGTAGTGTTTCTTTAAACCAATTTCAGCTTGGTAAGAGATGTTGGGCTATTGATCCAACGGATGTATTTTCATGTAAATTTTTCTTTGAATCCTTAATTGATGATTTCACTCTTCCGGTGTTTCTTCCATCATTGAGAATTTGGAAAGCCAAGGGCATCTTTGTGCATGGTTCATTGCCCATGTAAGATCAACACTAATGATGTGCTTCAAAGATTAGCCTTTGGGCTCTTTAGTTTAATTTTTCGGCATAGTGCTTCCAGAGGCTTATTAATAGTAGTGTGTATTACTTTGGCCTTTCCGCCTTTGGGCGATGCTCCATGCATCGCTAGCTCGAGAAAGAAAAGAAAAAAAAAATGATGTGCTTCAAAGGAGTAGACCTAAGAGTTGTTTTTCTGTGTAGTGGTGTGCAATGTGTAGAAATGATGGTGAGAGTGTGGACCATTTATTTTTGCATTGTCCCAATGGTGTTCTCATTTTGGAACAAGTTATTTAATTTTGTGGGGCTGTGTTGGGTGGCACCAAGTTCTATGTCTTCAATGATTGGTTTGATTGCTATGGGTTTGGGAGGAAATAGAAAGATGACTTTCTGGTGGTGTACTTTTTTTGCTACTATTTGGGTGATTTGATGGAAAAGGAATGCGAGCTTCTTTGAGGACAAAAGTGAAGAAGACGAAGAGTTATGGGGCCGGATATTTTTCTTGGCTTCTTTTTGGGCATTGGTGTCTAAAGAATTTGCGAACATTCTTTTTTTCTATATTACTACGAGTTAGACAGCCTTGTGTGGGATGTAGTATGATCGTATTGCATTGTTTTTGCTTCTATGTATTGTTTTTGTTTTTGTTTTTGTTTTGGTGATGTATGACTTTTACTATCTTTGGGTTGCTTGTNTCGTGTGGGATGTAGCATGATCGTATTGCATTGTCTTTGCTTCTATGTATTGTTTTTGTTTTTGTTTTGGTGATGTATGACTTTTACTATCTTTGGGTTGCTTGTGTGTTTTCTATTTTCAAATGTTAAGATTTGGGATATTTTAGTATTTTTTTTTTAAATTAAATGTTTATGCTTTGGCGGTTGTTAAGATTTGAGATATTATTGATGTTTGTTTGAATTTAAATGTTACTTTTGGTTGTCATAAGGATTTGAGATATTATTTGTGTTTGTTTCAATTTAAATGTTTATGCATGTGGTTGCATTTGAATATTAGTATTTGATAAGTTGGATTTGATATTTAGTGGTAACTAAATTAAAATATTTGTTTGATATTTGTACTATTCGCTCTGCTTTGATGAAGCTCTCGCTTTGCCTCAGAAGACTTGAGCACTTTGGTCCGCTTTACCCCTTAAATAACAATGTCCTTACTCATTTTAACAAACTCCTTCTAAAATTTACCTTAAAATTGGAAATACAAGAATCTTATTAACAAGATTACTATAAGGCTTTAATAACTAATATCTTGTGCCATTATTGGTTTTTATTACGAAACCACATTACTTAAAAGTTATTCCCCTTTGTACCTAGGATGATTTATTCAACATTAAGTGTTTGTTAGATGCAGGGTTATCATTGTTGTTATATTTCTAGTCTAATTATTCTAGGCTGACTAGGCACTAAAGGAATAAGAAATGGATAATGCAGGGTCATCACCACTGTCATATTGATAGTATAATTATTCTATGCTAAGTATGCACTTAAGTGGATAAGATAAATAGGAGGAAAGATTTTCTCTAGAATTAGATGTAAGTACAGTTAAACAAGCAGCAATCGGAAAATCAATTCAAAATTCAGGAAGCATCCCCCTAAAGTAGGCTATGTAGTCACTTGTAGTGTCACCCCTCTTACTGTTAATTTCATGANGTAAGTACAGTTAAACAAGCAGCAATCGGAAAATCAAGTCAAAATTCAGGAAGCATCCCCTTAAAGTAGGCTATGTAGTCACTTGTAGTGTCACCCCTCTTACTGTTAATTTCATGAATAGGCCATCTCAAAGTCTGATGTACAAAAGTTATTAAAGCTTGAAAGTATCTAGAATTTCTCTCCATAGGCTAGCTGTTCTTCAAGGATTTTTATATGGAAATTGCCATTTGCTTTATTTTCCACGAAGATCCCACTTCCGCTCTACTTTAGTCTTCTGAAACATGCTGTTATTCCTTGTTTTTTAATTTGAATTCTTGCTTCCTTTTTTTCAATTTACTTGTCTTGTTCACCTGACGTCTGTTTAACTCTATCTGCATGACTAATTTAAATATATGAAATGTAATAAAGTAGAAATATATATGGATTNTACTTTAGTCTTCTGAAACATGCTGTTATTCCTTGTTTTTTAATTTGAATTCTTGCTTCCTTTTTTTCAATTTACTTGTCTCGTTCACCTGACGTCTGTTTAACTCTATCTGCATGACTAATTTAAATATATGAAATGTAATAAAGTAGAAATATATATGGATTTCTAAATATGTAAAGGCAAGATATACAACACAGGTACAATTTAGTTATTAAAACTTGAATATGAGCAGGGAGCCAGGGAGGTAGAGATTAGTGATGAAGTTTCTCATAAATCTACAGCAGGTTGGCTTATGTGGAGACATGATTTTAGCATAGTTTGTGTGTGATTGAAAAATATGCTGGGTTTTATAAGACGGCTATAAAGAAAATTGTACTNCAGGGAGCCAGGGAGGTAGAGATTAGTGATGAAGTTTCTCATAAAACTACAGCAGGTTGGCTTATGTGGAGACATGATTTTAGCATAGTTTGTGTGATTGAAAAATATGCTGGGTTTTATAAGACGGCTATAAAGAAAATTGTACTTCAACAGATAGAATGTTGGCAATGATTAAGCATGTTTGTAAAATAAGTAAAGTAGAATTAAGGTTGTTAGGATGGCTTGCATGCTAAAATAGAAAGTAAACACATATTGTAAAAATGTTAGAAGCAACATCACTTAAAAATAAATTGGCTGAGAACCGATTAAAGATGATTTGAACATGTGTTCCGAAGACCACTACATGCGGTATCATTAAAAATGCTTTTGGTAGAACCAAAACCAACTTTGGGTGAGATAGTAACGAGGAATATAATAGCTTGTAATTACAAACCTATTGTCCTTAACATAGCATAACAGCAAGAAAATATTTATGTCTCAGACTTCAGTGAGTTGTACTACACTTTCATGTGTAAAATGTGAAATTGCTGGTTAGTAGGTTTTCCCCGTCTTTTGCTGATTGGGGGTGGGGACATTTTCCTTCTAATATAGTCAAGGTTAGGCACGCAGCACAATTCCAAGTGTATTAATTTCTTATTATCTGTATTGCTTATTGTCCAATTTCTCAAATCTAATTTTTATATATAGTAGTTTCCTCACCAGTTTGTGCCTTCGGCTCTGATGTTTTGGAAATAGGGCCTGATTTTGGTTCGCCTCCTTCATTTGTGCGGAAGAAACTCCTTACAGTTTTGAGTGATTGTGGCAAAGTCTCATCTTTAATTGACAGTATATCCATAGTGAAGCGATATGCCTCTGAATTATCCCATGCGATTCCAGTGGCTTCTGATGATGAAGCTCTTTCAAAGGCCAAAAAAGAGGTAATATCCCATCTTCTTTTTCTAATGTGTGAATATGCAACAGAAGGAGATGGCATTGCTTAGGCAGCCATATAATGATTTATTTTAACTTTCTATGGTGGTTGTAGGTAAAAAATGACAAAGTACATTTTGTCTGGGCCCAATTTTCAGAGTTGAATTCATATTTTAAGAAACAAACAGAGGACATTGAGAAGTTAAACAGAAAGCTTGCAGAAATGATATCTTTGCTTACATGTAACAAGAAGTCTACAGGAAGAAAATGCATCAAATACAGTGTGACCACTGAACTAAAAGACATTCTTAGTCGTATGGATGCTAGAGTCAGAAGCCTATACTCTAATTTACCTGCTAATGCCATGCTTATTATTTGCACTGGTCATGGAGACACAGCAATGGTTCACAGGTACACATCCACTGTGCCTGCATTATTTAGTTGCTGAGCCATCTATTTTAATGAAATTTCTTGCTTCATTTAATTTTTTGTTGCAAGACCAAGAAGGTGAATTGCAAAAAGTTAAGCTACTAACAGTGCATCTGGAGAAAAGTTCTATATCCCTGTAATGAGATAGTTGAAATTGTTTGTGAAGTTTTTTGATGAGATCTGTTGGCAAAGAAGATATGTAGAATTAAGTAACCTTCCCATGTCATAGTTTAGTGATGTAAAGTCACTCACGTATGACATGTTCTACCTCGTTTTCTGCAACTTAAGAATGTGCAATTATATGCTCAAAAATTCTGGGTAGGTTAAGGTTGGGATGGAACATTTTAGTTCATACCTGTTGCCCCTTGTTCAAGCATAGCATTGTCAATGTTGAATAGTCCAAAATGTGGGAAATGGGGTTTCTTTAATTTTTCAAGAAGGAAGTTTAGGGATTTTTCATTCTCTTTCCTTGCATCTCTCACTCACTGTATGGACTGGAAATTGATCTAGACTTCTCATACAACTATGTTTGAAGCAGAAGGAAATCAACACATTGTGATAGGTAGTACCTAATTTTCGGAACCACTACCTCAAATATGGTCTGGTCGTTTGTCCATAATTGTACCCCATTGGTACTATGTTTGCATTTTGAGGTATTTCTGCAACAGCCAAACTGTAACTGTGTAACTCTGATCCGATTAAATTGAACCTTGTGAACTACTAGCAGTAAACAAATCCAGTTTCATGGCCTGTTCTTCAACATATTGAACTTTGAAAATTGATTACTTGAACATGTGAAAAATGTTGCTTATGGTCCGATATAAAAATTTAAAGAACAAATCTATATTCTTATTTAATTTATTTTTTTTGGTTTTCCCTCTGTTCCTTTTACATGTTCATGTTTTTACTTTTCTGATTGCTTTCTTTTTGGTGTGCATGGATGAAGATTAAGGAAAATGCTCACAGAAGAAAAAGAAACCGCCATATGCCGTGAGAAACTTGTAAAAGTCTTGGAAGAGTTGCAGGCCCAAGCCGAAGTAGGTTTGTGTTTTGTAGGTGTGAAGCATTGAGTATTATTGAAACCACCATTCCGTGGTTTGTCATTTGGCAGATTTTGTAGTATTAGAAAGCAGAAAATACACTGCCAAAAAAAGATGTAAATTTTTACAATTGATTATCCACTTCGCTGCTGACCAAAAAAAAAAAAAATTATCTACTTTCCCCTGCTTTCACTANATAGCATAACAGCAAGAAAATATTTATGTCTCAGACTTCAGTGAGTTGTACAACACTTTCATGTGTAAAATGTGAAATTGCTGGTTAGTAGGTTTTCCCCGTCTTTTGCTGATTGGGGGTGGGGACATTGTCCTTCTAATATAGTCAAGGTTAGGCACGCAGCACAATTCCAAGTGTATTAATTTCTTATTATCTGTATTGCTTATTGTCCAATTTCTCAAATCTAATTTTTATATATAGTAGTTTCCTCACCAGTTTGTGCCTTCGGCTCTGATGTTTTGGAAATAGGGCCTGATTTTGGTTCGCCTCCTTCATTTGTGCGGAAGAAACTCCTTACAGTTTTGAGTGATTGTGGCAAAGTCTCATCTTTAATTGACAGTATATCCATAGTGAAGCGATATGCCTCTGAATTATCCCATGCGATTCCAGTGGCTTCTGATGATGAAGCTCTTTCAAAGGCCAAAAAAGAGGTAATATCCCATCTTCTTTTTCTAATGTGTGAATATGCAACAGAAGGAGATGGCATTGCTTAGGCAGCCATATAATGATTTATTTTAACTTTCTATGGTGGTTGTAGGTAAAAAATGACAAAGTACATTTTGTCTGGGCCCAATTTTCAGAGTTGAATTCATATTTTAAGAAACAAACAGAGGACATTGAGAAGTTAAACAGAAAGCTTGCAGAAATGATATCTTTGCTTACATGTAACAAGAAGTCTACAGGAAGAAAATGCATCAAATACAGTGTGACCACTGAACTAAAAGACATTCTTAGTCGTATGGATGCTAGAGTCAGAAGCCTATACTCTAATTTACCTGCTAATGCCATGCTTATTATTTGCACTGGTCATGGAGACACAGCAATGGTTCACAGGTACACATCCACTGTGCCTGCATTATTTAGTTGCTGAGCCATCTATTTTAATGAAATTTCTTGCTTCATTTAATTTTTTGTTGCAAGACCAAGAAGGTGAATTGCAAAAAGTTAAGCTACTAACAGTGCATCTGGAGAAAAGTTCTATATCCCTGTAATGAGATAGTTGAAATTGTTTGTGAAGTTTTTTGATGAGATCTGTTGGCAAAGAAGATATGTAGAATTAAGTAACCTTCCCATGTCATAGTTTAGTGATGTAAAGTCACTCACGTATGACATGTTCTACCTCGTTTTCTGCAACTTAAGAATGTGCAATTATATGCTCAAAAATTCTGGGTAGGTTAAGGTTGGGATGGAACATTTTAGTTCATACCTGTTGCCCCTTGTTCAAGCATAGCATTGTCAATGTTGAATAGTCCAAAATGTGGGAAATGGGGTTTCTTTAATTTTTCAAGAAGGAAGTTTAGGGATTTTTCATTCTCTTTCCTTGCATCTCTCACTCACTGTATGGACTGGAAATTGATCTAGACTTCTCATACAACTATGTTTGAAGCAGAAGGAAATCAACACATTGTGATAGGTAGTACCTAATTTTCGGAACCACTACCTCAAATATGGTCTGGTCGTTTGTCCATAATTGTACCCCATTGGTACTATGTTTGCATTTTGAGGTATTTCTGCAACAGCCAAACTGTAACTGTGTAACTCTGATCCGATTAAATTGAACCTTGTGAACTACTAGCAGTAAACAAATCCAGTTTCATGGCCTGTTCTTCAACATATTGAACTTTGAAAATTGATTACTTGAACATGTGAAAAATGTTGCTTATGGTCCGATATAAAAATTTAAAGAACAAATCTATATTCTTATTTAATTTTTTTTTTTTGGTTTTCCCTCTGTTCCTTTTACATGTTCATGTTTTTACTTTTCTGATTGCTTTCTTTTTGGTGTGCATGGATGAAGATTAAGGAAAATGCTCACAGAAGAAAAAGAAACCGCCATATGCCGTGAGAAACTTGTAAAAGTCTTGGAAGAGTTGCAGGCCCAAGCCGAAGTAGGTTTGTGTTTTGTAGGTGTGAAGCATTGAGTACTATTGAAACCACCATTCCGTGGTTTGTCATTTGGCAGATTTTGTAGTATTAGAAAGCAGAAAATACACTGCCAAAAAAAGATGTAAATTTTTACAATTGATTATCCACTTCGCTGCTGACCAAAAAAAAAAAAAATTATCTACTTTCCCCTGCTTTCACTATTATTATGTAAAGCAGTCTACAAGAGGGCTTGTTTGGTTGCCGGACTGAAAGGAGGGAACTGCACTGTGTAAGCCAATCCAGTCCAGTCCAGTCCAGTCCCATAAAGGTGGATAGAAAGGGCTCTGACCACAATTAGTTGGATTTATTACTTTGTACAACATTTGGTAAAACACAGGACTTGATGTGAGATAACAGTTTTTTATATATTTTTTTNTTCTTATTATCTGTATTGCTTATTGTCCAATTTCTCAAATCTAATTTTTATATATAGTAGTTTCCTCACCAGTTTGTGCCTTCGGCTCTGATGTTTTGGAAATAGGGCCTGATTTTGGTTCGCCTCCTTCATTTGTGCGGAAGAAACTCCTTACAGTTTTGAGTGATTGTGGCAAAGTCTCATCTTTAATTGACAGTATATCCATAGTGAAGCGATATGCCTCTGAATTATCCCATGCGATTCCAGTGGCTTCTGATGATGAAGTTCTTTCAAAGGCCAAAAAAGAGGTAATATCCCATCTTCTTTTTCTAATGTGTGAATATGCAACAGAAGGAGACGGCATTGCTTAGGCAGTCATATAATGATTTATTTTAACTTTCTATGGTGGTTGTAGGTAAAAAATGACAAAGTACATTTTGTCTGGGCCCAATTTTCAGAGTTGAATTCATATTTTAAGAAACAAACAGAGGACATTGAGAAGTTAAACAGAAAGCTTGCAGAAATGATATCTTTGCTTACATGTAACAAGAAGTCTACAGGAAGAAAATGCATCAAATACAGTGTGACCACTGAACTAAAAGACATTCTTAGTCGTATGGATGCTAGAGTCAGAAGCCTATACTCTAATTTACCTGCTAATGCCATGCTTATTATTTGCACTGGTCATGGAGACACAGCAATGGTTCACAGGTACACATCCACTGTGCCTGCATTATTTAGTTGCTGAGCCATCTATTTTAATGAAATTTCTTGCTTCATTTAATTTTTTGTTGCAAGACCAAGAAGGTGAATTGCAAAAAGTTAAGCTACTAACAGTGCATCTGGAGAAAAGTTCTATATCCCTGTAATGAGATAGTTGAAATTGTTTGTGAAGTTTTTTGATGAGATCTGTTGGCAAAGAAGATATGTAGAATTAAGTAACCTTCCCATGTCATAGTTTAGTGATGTAAAGTCACTCACGTATGACATGTTCTACCTCGTTTTCTGCAACTTAAGAATGTGCAATTATATGCTCAAAAATTCTGGGTAGGTTAAGGTTGGGATGGAACATTTTAGTTCATACCTGTTGCCCCTTGTTCAAGCATAGCATTGTCAATGTTGAATAGTCCAAAATGTGGGAAATGGGGTTTCTTTAATTTTTCAAGAAGGAAGTTTAGGGATTTTTCATTCTCTTTCCTTGCATCTCTCACTCACTGTATGGACTGGAAATTGATCTAGACTTCTCATACAACTATGTTTGAAGCAGAAGGAAATCAACACATTGTGATAGGTAGTACCTAATTTTCGGAACCACTACCTCAAATATGGTCTGGTCGTTTGTCCATAATTGTACCCCATTGGTACTATGTTTGCATTTTGAGGTATTTCTGCAACAGCCAAACTGTAACTGTGTAACTCTGATCCGATTAAATTGAACCTTGTGAACTACTAGCAGTAAACAAATCCAGTTTCATGGCCTGTTCTTCAACATATTGAACTTTGAAAATTGATTACTTGAACATGTGAAAAATGTTGCTTATGGTCCGATATAAAAATTTAAAGAACAAATCTATATTCTTATTTAATTTTTTTTTTTTGGTTTTCCCTCTGTTCCTTTTACATGTTCATGTTTTTACTTTTCTGATTGCTTTCTTTTTGGTGTGCATGGATGAAGATTAAGGAAAATGCTCACAGAAGAAAAAGAAACCGCCATATGCCGTGAGAAACTTGTAAAAGTCTTGGAAGAGTTGCAGGCCCAAGCCGAAGTAGGTTTGTGTTTTGTAGGTGTGAAGCATTGAGTACTATTGAAACCACCATTCCGTGGTTTGTCATTTGGCAGATTTTGTAGTATTAGAAAGCAGAAAATACACTGCCAAAAAAAGATGTAAATTTTTACAATTGATTATCCACTTCGCTGCTGACCAAAAAAAAAAAAAAATTATCTACTTTCCCCTGCTTTCACTATTATTATGTAAAGCAGTCTACAAGAGGGCTTGTTTGGTTGCCGGACTGAAAGGAGGGAACTGCACTGTGTAAGCCAATCCAGTCCAGTCCAGTCCAGTCCCATAAAGGTGGATAGAAAGGGCTCTGACCACAATTAGTTGGATTTATTACTTTGTACAACATTTGGTAAAACACAGGACTTGATGTGAGATAACAGTTTTTTATATATTTTTTTGGTCAGAGCAATTATCCAGTTCAATCTCATGTTTTGTAAGCTTTATCATTCCTTGGGACTAACATGGTATTTGGCCAAACACCCACATGTGCAGTCCACTCCAGTCCCGTGTTGCACAAATTTTCGCATGCCCAAGTTTGGGGGACAAAAATTGAAAAATCACCACTTTTCTTAGCATATAACTATTTTTGGCCCNAGTTCTTTCAAAGGCCAAAAAAGAGGTAATATCCCATCTTCTTTTTCTAATGTGTGAATATGCAACAGAAGGAGACGGCATTGCTTAGGCAGTCATATAATGATTTATTTTAACTTTCTATGGTGGTTGTAGGTAAAAAATGACAAAGTACATTTTGTCTGGGCCCAATTTTCAGAGTTGAATTCATATTTTAAGAAACAAACAGAGGANCTTTTTTTTTTTTGTAATGTCTATACAAAATTGGTTTTAATGACGGATTTGTGATTATCATATAGAAAAGCAGTTCATTTGATGAATCGGGATGGAAGAGAAATCAATGAAAGCAATCGCTAGTACTCGATCCTAAAAATTAGAGACTATAAATTTCCCAATTTCTCTTTTGTTAGTAGCAAATCTACTTTCACAAAATCTGATTTAACTTTGGCCCGGTTCTTTAATCAATCTCTTGGCCTTCGTTAACTCATTGTTTCGTAAACCGATCGCTGGTTGATCTAATCAGCTTGCTCAAGAGTCAAACAAATGGCAATATGTAAACGCACATAATCAGGGTTCAAGTCTATTTGGCCACATAAGACTAGAATTTAATCGACCCATATAGTTAAAGAATAATTCTACGTATCCGAGATTTTTTGTTGTACCCATTACATAGTGTAAAGGGGTGCATTGTCAAAATGATTCCCCGTTACTTCCAAGAAACACTAAACCAAAGAATGTTAAGTAAGTATAAAAAATGAGATAAGGTATCTACTAGACTGTATTATCCCTTTTAGAAACCCTCAATACAGTCAATGAAGTGCTTGACTGCTCTNTTAAAAATGAGATAAGGTATCTACTTGTCTGTATTATCCCTTTTAGAAACCCTCAATACAGTCAATGAAGTGCTTGACTGCTCTCAAAAGAAATCACAACAACGTTACTGTATCTGAGGTGTAGTGGTTATGGAATAATTTCAAATATGGCATCCAGGAAGAAAAAAACATAAAGCCACATATTAGCTCGTATAGTCACACGCACACAAGCACGCGCACACCCCTTATATATAAAGGCAAGTATAGAGTTGTCAGTCCAATATGGAAGTTAAATCAGATTGCAACATCAGGTGTTGGCAAGACAATCTTGAAGTCACAGACCTATTTTCAATTAAAAAACAACTATCAGAAATAAAATAACTTGTAATGGAGAAGAATATGCAGATAACTAGTAATGGAGAAGAAATATGCAGATTTGCAAAGTCAACAAGTATGCTGTTACATAAACTCGAGAAGTATTTATGCTTGATTTAGATTTTACATCACCATGCATCCTGATCCAACACAAAATGTAAAGTCACAAGCAAAAACAAGCACTTTAGTCAGCCAGATACCTAATAGTTTCTACATCCACACAATGCACCTTACTTCCATGCTGAAGCAACAATCAAGACCTTGTCTTCCCACCCAAAATGGAGTGCACCCGTTTCTTCCTTCACCTTGTACCGGTCACAATATTGCTTTATAAGTTCTCGAATTGCCTCATTCACATTTGGACTAATTGGACATGACGTGAAACCAGCCATCATCATCCTCGCTCTCCATTTCCCAGCAACTTCGTAACGTTCTATTCTTTCCTCTCCCTCACATGCAACAATGTTAATTATGTCACGCGCCAGACACTGCTTTTCTACATTCATCCTCTCCTGGCTATCCCTGGGGAGAGTTGCATCAAGAGACTCAAACACAGCAGAGTAGTAACTGTAGGCTTCTGCAAACCTTGGCAAAAATGGGGCAGTATTAGTGTTGACATCTTGCTCAACAACTGTAACAAGTTTTGGATTTAAACTCTTAACCATCCGGAGCAGCTGGTCTCGCTGGTTTACAATTGAAACACTCTCATCAGGCAAGTGGTGAAGCTGGAAAGCGAAGTTCACAACTAGTGCTTCTCCAGGCTGGCAGTCCAGCACTGCTGGGGACACAACTGCAGTATTGGATGGCAGTGCTCGGAACTCAAATGGCACCCCTAGTGTTTCAGCCAGTTTCTCGAGCCTTTGCCCAATGAGTTTTAGGCCCCCAATGGCACGTTGAACTGATTCAGGGTCATCAACTCCAGTTAACCTCAAGTGGGGTGGTTTACCAGGCCGACTAGCAAGTGTTTTTAACAGTGTATAATATTGACTCCCTTGGTTGATGTCAAAATCTATTATGTGGACTTTCTTTTCATTTTTAAACGCCTCTAGAATTGCACCATTGGCTGCCATAAATCCAAATCTAAAACATGGGCAAACCTCCATGAGAACCTGCATTGCTGACAATCTATCTAAAGAGGGGGCCTCTTTGCATTTCAGAGCTTTATAAAGACCTTTGCCAGAGGTAGCCATCCGAGCAGCAAGAGCTTCCACCATATAGGCTGCAATCCTCTGCTGAGGATCTCCTTGGATTGAGACCTTTTGCCGGAGCTCATTTATCATGGTTGATGCTTCCTCAATGTTCCCATCTTGAATTGAGGCAGCACAGTCAAATAGCAACTGCTTGGGAGCCTGAGTGGCTAATGGTATTTCTTTGTTGCTGCTGATGGTGCTAACATTTGATTCTGATGAAGAAGATTCCTTGGGCGAGTCATGGAGCAGTACATCAGGAATTTGATCTGCCCATTCACCATCAAGTTCCATACTATGGTCCGGACCAAACATATTGTCTTCATCATTATTGTTATCATCAAAAAGCGCCCTNACTCCTTGGGCGAGTCATGGAGCAGTACATCAGGAATTTGATCTGCCCATTCACCATCAAGTTCCATACTCTGGTCCGGACCAAACATATTGTCTTCATCATTATTGTTATCATCAAAAAGCGCCCTCTCCAGCTCTTGAAGCTTTAATCTCATCTTATCTTCATCATAGTCTACTGCATCTGGACTTTGACTTCCAAAGTATTCTGATTCAACAATGGATTGATAGACAACAGGATGTCGCACGGCCACAAAAGAGGAGTTAAAAGGGTTTTGGCCAGCCATTAGCTGGTAAGAAGATGGACCTTGTGGGGGGAATGAATTCCCTGAGACACCATAGCTAGATGTGGGAGTAAGTTCTTCGGTTGGGGAGTCAAGAAAGTACTTTGGATCAAAACTATCACTGCTGCAAGTTTCAGATGAATACATGATCCCACGGTTGTCGGAGTTGAAGGCGGATGTTGACAAGACAGAGTTCTCATTGCTCCCCTTTAGTGGGTAGAGCTTACGATTCCCAAACGATGTGGCAGACCTAACTAAAGACATGGTTTACTTCTGAATTACTCCTTTTCAGATGAGTTGGGTGTACCAAGTAATTCAAGCCCTGCGTAACCTGGTGTCACACAGATTCGATGAGAAATTATTGCTAAATTCCAGTAACTGTACAAAACAAGCATACATATATATGTATAATAGAGTGCTGGTCACTTGCAGTTGAATTTGCTGTAATGCTACAAGAATGCCCATGTTCAGTCAAAAGAATTGAGTAAAAAAAAGCTAAGCATACGTCCATAAGAGGAGTTCTTCTATAACAGTAAAACAGTAAAATAATTCACATTTGTGGACTTTCGCATGGGTGGACATGTCATATCATTGATCTCAAGCATGATGAGGTTGCGAGAAAGCACGGCACATGTCAACTTTTGTGAACTGCAGTAGTCAACCTATGTTTAAGGAGGTTGCATAGGGATGATTTCATGAGAAACAGAAAAGTAACCCATCAACTTATGCATGTCTTACTTAAAATCTTTTAGTCTACCAATTGGCTGATGTTATATACCATAGTTCCGGTAGTATCTCTATGCATCACTGCTTAAATGCAACCATGACAGTGGACGTGTCCCCTACTATGATAGCTGCTTAAATATTTATGGTAGTGCTGCAATATAATTACTTGATATATAGCTACAATAACGCACAATTGTCTACGCATTTCTCATGATAGAACCTGGTAGGTGTACTGATAAAAAAAACCTAATATGCAAATTTTTTCTTTTTCCCCTTAGAAGTGGTTTTTTAGTTTTTGCTTTTGATTTGAGGTGGGGGAGGGGGAGAGGATGTGTATGTCCTGACTCTCAGCATCTTAGGATCGTAATGAACTGTCCTCTGAACATTTGTACATAAATGGTGCATATATGGATGCATGCACGCCTGTAGATTTCAACCTTTCAAAGGAGGTATATGATATGTCTTCTCTAAATTTAAAAGAGACCAAAAACATGTTTTTTGTTTTTTAAACTAGCCCAGAAAGAAATTTGGAGGTCTTTGTAAAATAGCCAGAAAGAAATTTCAAGGTCTTTATATTTTTATTTTTTATTTTGGGAGGGAGAAAGGGGAAGGGGGATTGAACCTTGACCTCAAGAAGGCAAAGCCTTCACAAGGCAAAGAGTACCATTGGACCAAAGACCTATTGGTTCAAGGTCTTTATAAACTAGTCATATTGGTCTTTATAAATTTGAAAGTCTTTACAAACTATGCCTCTGTATTTTCTTTTTATTCTTTTCCCCATAACAACTATAGATGTTTAGGCAGAGCACTTCCTTTATCACTTGAAAAACGATGTGTGGAAATTCAATATTGATATCAATTAGCAATTCAGTGCATCAAGCAAAAATTAACCTTAAACAACAAAATAGACCCAAAAGAAAAGCATAAAGGCTAGTAGACTAGAAATATATAAATGGAATAATTCAATGATAGGATGCATATTGCCCAAGTATTGGCAAATCAACTTCTGCCAAAACAATCTTGGAATTACAGAAACAACCAGGAAGGAAAATCCAACAGTTATTCCATACCCAGATCAAGAATTGAAAGTTAAAGTCATCTAGCTAACAAAAGATATCCATTGTATTCATTAATGGAAAAAAAAATTCAAACAAAATTTATACATATATATAATCTGCGTACAGATGAAGAAAAAATTTGAAAAGAAAAACACAAGGGAGAAAAAGGCAAGGCAGAGAAGCTGAGGAACAATATATACCTGAAATAGAGAAAGGAGAAATCAAGCTGTGCAAATAGAGATAATATCAGCAATCATAACCTGCAATTCAATGGATATAGAGATTGAGAAGAACCTCAGAATTTTGGTTCTGAGAGAAGGGAAAAACCTATGGTTTTGACCATGAATAAACAGTAAACAAATCCAACCACCCCTCAAAGCTAATATACTATTTTCTGTAATCTTTTCATTAAAGAATTGAAAAAAATCACAGATTGTGAGGTTGGGTTGGTATAAAAGCAACAAACCAACATAAAAAACCAAATTAAAAGTCCAAAGAAGAACAAACTCTAAAAAGTAAACACAATACAGATAACCCAGAAAGATAAAGAAAGAAAAATATTCAAAGAATTGAGGTCCAGCTAATCCAATTCAAGAATAATATGAACAGATCAAAATTCTAAGACCCAGTTATATAAAGGAACATGCCAAGAAAATCCAATCTTCTGGTCCCCAAGAAAAAGAATGGTAAACATACCTCCATTATATTATTGCAAAAAGAAGCTTCTCAATTTCATTGTCATTTCACTTCTTTTTTTGCCCTTCTTATGTTTGCTTGCCTGCTTTTTCATGCCACTTTGTCTGACTGGAATGGGAGTTGTTGACAGTACAACTTGCGTAAAAAAGTGACCATATGACGTAGAGTTATTTACCAGAATATCACAAATTTTAAATTATGTTTTGAATTTATTTATTACATTACAATATTTTTTTAANAGCCTTCACAAGGCAAAGAGTACCATTGGACCAAAGACCTATTGGTTCAAGGTCTTTATAAACTAGTCATATTGGTCTTTATAAATTTGAAAGTCTTTACAAACTATGCNAACCTTCACAAGGCAAAGAGTACCATTGGACCAAAGACCTATTGGTTCAAGGCCTTTATAAACTAGTCATATTGGTCTTTATAAATTTGAAAGTCTTTACAAACTATGCCTCTGTATTTTCTTTTTATTCTTTTCCCCATAACAACTATAGATGTTTAGGCAGAGCACTTCCTTTATCACTTGAAAAACGATGTGTGGAAATTCAATATTGATATCAATTAGCAATTCAGTGCATCAAGCAAAAATTAACCTTAAACAACAAAATAGACCCAAAAGAAAAGCATAAAAGCTAGTAGACTAGAAATATATAAATGGAATAATTCAATGATAGGATGCATATTGCCCAAGTATTGGCAAATCAACTTCTGCCAAAACAATCTTGGAATTACAGAAACAACCAGGAAGGAAAATCCAACAGTTATTCCATACCCAGATCAAGAATTGAAAGCTAAAGTCATCTAGCTAACAAAAGATATCCATTGTATTCATTAATGGAAAAAAAAATTCAAACAAAATTTATACATATATATAATCTGCGTACAGATGAAGAAAAAATTTGAAAAGAAAAACATAAGGGAGAAAAAGGCAAGGCAGAGAAGCTGAGGAACAATATATACCTGAAATAGAGAAAGGAGAAATCAAGCTGTGCAAATAGAGATAATATCAGCAATCATAACCTGCAATTCAATGGATATAGAGATTGAGAAGAACCTCAGAAGTTTGGTTCTGAGAGAAGGGAAAAACCTATGGTTTTGACCATGAATAAACAGTAAACAAATCCAACCACCCCTCAAAGCTAATATACCATTTTCTGTAATCTTTTCATTAAAGAATTGAAAAAAATCACAGATTGTGAGGTTGGGTTGGTATAAAAGCAACAAACCAACATAAAAAACCAAATTAAAAGTCCAAAGAAGAACAAACTCTAAAAAGTAAACACAATACAGATAACCCAGAAAGATAAAGAAAGAAAAATATTCAAAGAATTGAGGTCCAGCTAATCCAATTCAAGAATAATATGAACAGATCAAAATTCTAAGACCCAGTTATATAAAGGAACATGCCAAGAAAATCCAATCTTCTGGTCCCCAAGAAAAAGAATGGTAAACATACCTCCATTATATTATTGCAAAAAGAAGCTTCTCAATTTCATTGTCATTTCACTTCTTTTTTTCCCTTCTTATGTTTGCTTGCCTGCTTTTTCATGCCACTTTGTCTGACTGGAATGGGAGTTGTTGACAGTGCAACTTGCGTAAAAAAGTGACCATATGACGTAGAGTTATTTACCAGAATATCACAAATTTTAAATTATGTTTTGAATTTATTTATTACATTACAATATTTTTTTAAAAAAATTTCACTTTTGTTAAAAAATTGAGCCAACAATCCGCCTTTTAATCTTTAGTCGGATAAGGAAATATCGGTGTTTCAGTCGGATGAAAAAAAAGGGTGTTAAATCTAATGAATTTTCTCTTAAAAGTTAAGTTTTTGACCCCATTTTTTAACAAAATCAGAGTCAACGGTTCATTTTTTAAAAAAATTGTTGTAATTTAATAAATAAATTCAAAAGTGCGATAGGTCGATAATATTGTTTGAAATTTATCGTATACTGATAAATAATTCATATGAGATACGGAATGTTATGTACTATATTCTCAAGGGATTGTTTGTTTGACGTATAAGGGTGGTATAAGAAAAATAGTACGTGAAGCTTACCTTAAACCTTGTTTGTTTGACATTTTTATTAGGTACTAATTTTCGGGTCATAGTACTGACCCGGTGTGAACAGTAACACTAATGCCTTTTATACGGTGTTATTCAATACCACTTACCCGGTGGTATAATATTCCTGGTATAAATGAATGGAGGTATAATAAATGAAAAAGATCGAAATGCCCTCAGGTACAATGCTCGTATAAAAGTCTAGTTGCAATTTTTGACTTTTTAAGGTTAAAATTATCTTTTTACATTGGTTAGTCGCAATTGTTAATTTTTTTAAGTAGATATTACACATAATATTTGTGATAAACAAACAAGGGGAATGATGAGATTATAGTTTAAAACCGAATATAATATACTATTAGATTGAGAGTGGAATTGATATAAAATCTTATACCACCTTGTGCGTGCTGGATCTTGCACAATATAAATACAAGAACAGATCTCTCCCTTGGTGAACTCGAGTGAGTCAGTCGAGTGGTCAACCCCGTTGCTTGGAACAACCTGTGAGGTCCGGTGATAACCTGGAACGGTAATGGGAGACCCTCGTGGATCAATGGAATGATCCAGTAAGGCTGAAGAAGGTTCTTGGAACAAAGAAGAACAAGTTAGAAGGACGCCGGAGTGTTTTTCGGCGTATCCCCTCCGACGATCAAGTCAGTCTTTGAGAGAGAGGAAGAAGAAAACACTAAGTATGTGTTGTAGCAAAGGTTTTT